AAGATCAGCCCTAAGCTAACATCCGATGCCAATCCTCCTCTTTTTTTGCTAAGGAAGATTGGCCCTGGGCTAACATCTGTGCCCATCCTCCTCTACTTTATATGGGACGCCTGCCACAGCATGGCTTGACAAGTGGTGCGTAGGTCCACGCCTGGCATCTGAACCTGGGAACCCCAGGCTGCCCAAGTGGAGCGCGCACACTTAACCACCGTGCCACCGGGCCGGCCCCAACACATAGCTTTTTAACCATAAGCCAGACTCCTCACCCGACCAAGCATTTGTTAGGCTGGCAACTTTTTAATTCTTTCTAAGGAAGGTAGTAACTTTTTAACTTAGTTGTTTTGTTTTGCTGAAAATAATTAAATGGATCAAAGACTGTGGTCTAGGCGTAGGGTACATTTTGTCAGGGTCTGGCTTCCGTGGTTTTCTTCACCAGTTTAAGCAGTTGGGATCATAGTAAATCCCCGTGGTAGAAGAAACATTTAGGGATGTTTCATCTCTCAAGTATTTTAAACGTTCTGTTTTAAAACTATGGGACTCTGATCCTCTTAAGTACTTTATCATTGCAGAATAGGAGGATCAACTTTTCTTACTGAAAAATTATATAATGATCATCTACATTTTTTTTTAACTTACAGAAAGTTTGAAAATTTCTACATAGGCTGGGGTCATAAATACAGTCCAGACAGCTATACACCTCCAGCTCCACCATCAGTTTATCAAGAATATCCCAGCGGACCAGCAATTACAGAAATGGATGACCCTAGTGTGGAAGATGAACAGGCTTTCAGGGCTGCCCAAGAAGCGGCTGTACTTCCAGCTGAGGAAGGCGAAGAAACCGAGGAAGAGGAAGATGAGGAAGATGATTATGACTAATAAAAGTACAATCAGCCCAGTCTTATGTGAGACTGATATATACATACTCCTTCTGTGGGACTGATTTTATATATACACACACACACAAATTGGCAACTATTGATGTGCAAAATGTTACTCCGTGAAAATTTCAAATTTGGACTTTCCTATGTGGAACTGTTAATATGGACTTATAAAAAGATTCTCCACAGATTTTCCAGAGGCTAAATGACATTTTCTTACATCAGTCTTCTCTTGACTACTGCTAATGGAATATGTGCTTCTGTATTTTTTAAGACTCAGGTCTAATTTCTAATGAAACAGAAATTTCCAAACATGGAAATATACAACCTACAAAAGCTTCTTTGGGACTTCAATATTTTTCAAGTGTCAAGGGGTACTGACACCAAAAAATATCGATAATCACTACATTAGAGCATGGATTCTTAACCAGTCTGTGATACTGTATGCAAATATTGTGTATATATATATATATTTTTTTTTTTGCTAAGGAGGTTTATAATTCCATAGCCTGTTCAAAGACTGTGGGAACACAAATTTTTAACACTCTTCTTGTTACTTCTTAAAGGACTTTCTCAATCTGATTCTTCTTTGATCCTATAGAAAAGTTTTGATCTGACTGGGAAAAAATGATTTGCATAGAGATGGCTAGCTGGGATATCCAGAGACCTCAGACTTATATTTTCTACCACTGTTTCTCTAAAACTAGTTATTTTCATTCACTAAAAAAGTATTTTTAAGTCCTTTATGTGCCAGGCACCCTGAGGCTCTCATTAAAAACTAGACATAGCTCCTGAAATTTCAGAGCTTACAATCAAGGGGGAGAATATAAAAAGGTAAATAGAAAATGAGAATAGATTGCAACTTAGCAAGTATTGTGATACAAATATTACAGGGTACCATAGAATAGTGTTTTTCGAACACTGTGGTGAAGGACCAATTAAAAAAAGATTTCTAATCCATTGCTATTATTTTTGTAAAATAAAATAAAAATGTCTCAGCAATTCTAAATTCTGTAATTGTCTTGTCACAAACTGGCAGTTTGCAGATCACCGATCTACACCTTGAGAAACATTGCTTATCAAACACTTAGAAGGTGCGTTTAATCCAGAGTTGAGCAGTTCAGGAAGCACTTCTGCAAGGAAGCCCTTCTAAGAAGTGGAGAACTAAGGGGAGAAGGGTCCTAGGCAACACCAGCTATATTTTGGCAAAGGACTTTAGGCTGAAAGGAGTGAAGCTTCGAGAGTGGTGAGAGATGAGCCTGGAGAGGTAAGCAGGGCCCAGATTCTGTAGGATGTCTGGATTTTATCCATGAGCAACAAGGAGGACTCAACTAGGAAGTCACAAAATCACATTTATATTGAATATCTTGGCTTCAGTGTAGAAAGTGGATGACAGAGAATCAACACACGGAGACAAGTTAGGAGGTTATTACATTATACAGGTAAGAGAGAATGATGGCATGAAATAGGATAACTACATGGGGATATAAAGTAGAAACCTGATTACTAGTCTGAGGGACAGAATGTTAGAAATGATGGTTTCTAGAATTTTCCAGTTGGCAATATTATTCATTCTTGGAGTGCAACTGTCAATACTTGATGGAGTAGCTAATATTTATAAAACTTCACTCAAGTACATTCATGTTCATTTTTTCATGGTGCAGTAAACATTTGTGGCTTTTCTTTTTTGAGGTTTAATATCCAGTTCCTCATCTACCCTGATTTTTTTTTGAGAAACTGCCTCTGTCCCATGGCATACAGTCTCATGCCAGTCCAATGTGCCTTCTCTGGAATCTGAATTTTGAGCAGAGACAATATACCTCGGCTCCTAACCTGATTGTTCCTGCTATAAATTAGACCATATTCTAGCCTCTAGAGCTGCCTTGGTTCTGGCACAGTTCCCTGTTACCTGTGTATACTGTGAGCTTCTGATAATCTTTCAATGAATTCCTTTCTGCTTAAATTGGCCAGAGTAGGATTCTTGTTTGCAACTTTACATGGCACAGCCAACATCAATCTGAAAGTTTCCTTCCTACACACTAAACACAAGATTCCAAATCACAGTTGCATAGGTAAGAGTGTAAATATTTAACAAAAGCAAATCCCTCTTTTTAGAGCTATGCCTGTTAAATATTATGGTTATTTCTAAGTGATGAAGAGGAAATATTATTGTATCTGTTTTACAACAGAAGAAAGCAGAATGCTATAACAGTAAGAGCTTGGAAGTGAGACAGCCTGGGTTCATATCCTGGCTATGATCATTTTCTTGGGCAAATTACTAATCTCACAGAGCTTCAACTTCCTCACAGGGCTAATTTAGTACTTATCTCACAGAACTATTTTGAAGATTAAACTAATATATGGAAAACAGTAAGACTATCTAACACAAGCAAGGACCCAATAAATATTACATATGACATATGACAATACAAAACCAGTTTCTGAAACATGGATAAGAAAAGAAATAGAAAACCCACAATGTAAAGAAAATATTTTATTGAAATTATTACTGAACAATGGAGCGCTAAAGGTATAATTTAGACATTTTAGAAATTCAATTACAAGAGTATTTAGAGAATTTTAGAGAATTTACAGATTCATAATTGTATTAAGGAGTTTAACATCTGAATTTGAAATACAAAGTAAAATTCCACAATCACTGAAATGCTTAATTCTTCAAGGAATCTTCTCGGCTGTAAAGAGTTGAGAAGCTTGTCTCCTGGCCTTGAAAAGGAATTAAAAAAAACTGTTAATTGTAAGCAAGAAGTCAATTAATTAGAATAAGTATTAATTATCATTCTAATATTAAAAACTAAAATCTGGAAATTTTTTCAAGATAATGAAAATTCCTTAAGGAAAAGTACAACTTCTAATTTAGGAAATTAGGAATAAACATTTTTAAAGCCAAATCATAAAAAAAGTAGAGAAAATTCCAAATAAAGACAAAACACAAAGAAGTAAAAAGAAAATGTCACTTTTTTATGAAATAATGAGTCAAAAGTAAAAACGCTGGCTCAAAGTCAGAGACAGACACGTAAAAACAGAGGGAAGGAAAGACAGAGATAGGGCTATGAGCAGAGAACCTTTAGGAAAATTATCTCCTTCATTATGTCCTTAAAAATGTCACTTTAAAAAACTTTTAAATGTTTGTGCTATTTTCACAACTTGAGTTACAAATCAAGGCATATTATACCAAGCTCAGTTAAAACAGCGTTAAGAGTACAAGGATTACACAATGAAAAACAAAGAATGCAGTGATGTAATTTAACTACCACATACCAAATGTAAAAAGAATCGAGGAACAGGGCTATTTAACTGAATTTCATTAGGAGGTATTTTGTAAAATAAATCCTTTCACCTAAACAAGTGTTCCAGCATCTAGAACAGAGTTTGGAATTAGCAGATACTCAAAATATATTTATGGCAGAAATGTCTTACAGTGATGATAAGACAGTGCCAGGATAAAAAATTTTTTTTTGAAAACTGATTGTTCTCCTTGAGTAACAGCTGCATGATTATTAAAATAATTAAGTTCAAATATGAAGAACAAAGTGTAAAATGCAGTTATAAATATCTGTATTTCGGGATACTTTAAAATACCAAATTTGTTCTGAAGTTCCTACAATTAAAACTGTAGTTATCACTTAGAAAGAAAAAGACATTTTAAGTATGAGCTACACAAATAAATACACATGAAATAAAAGTAGAAACATTATTTTGCCCTTGTTTAAAACTTCAGATTTCTATCTGATGATATGTAGGTCAATAAGCACAACAATATTTGCTGAATTCCTACAATGTATAAAGCACTATTAAAAAGGACAGAATAACTATAACACACAGACAGTAAAAAAGAAAAAGCAAAACAAAGGCTTTAAAGCAATATGCAAAAACAATGTTATGTTGAATTGCTAAGAATTTTTTTTTCATTTTTCAAAATATAATATCCTATATTTTCAACAATAGATGTGATATTGTTCACACAAAAGCTTAGCAAACTTGAAACTATGAGACTTGGTATCCTCACAAAAGAAGCAATGCAGGGCAGGGCTCTGGAAGTAAATTGCCCGAATCAGAAGCCTGACTCTCTTACTTAGTAGCTGTGTGACTTTAAGAATACAACTTCTCTGAGCCTAGGTATCCTCATCTGTAAAATGGGAATAACAGGGCCTACCTTACAGGGCAGTTGTGTAGATTAAATTAGTTAACATATATAAAGTGCTTAGGATAGCACCTAGCATAAAGTAAGCATTATACAAGTGTAACTTTTATTAATATTACAATTATAATCATATTTATTATTATTATTCCTTCTTTATCCAATGTATTCAGTATTATTCATTGTCAGCCAAGTTCTGATTCTTATGGTTAAAGACATAGCTACTCTCCATGACTCAAGAAAAAACAGAACAGTAGCAAATGCACATTTTTAGTATTCTAACACCACCAAGGTCTCAGTTTCCAAAACCAGAAAGAGCACAGCTAACTAAAATGTTCAGCTAGACTCCATGAAAATATTTAACCCCAATTATGCTCTGAAAAGTTATCTGTATATTGGTAAACAAGCATCTTGGTATTTTATAATAATTAAAATTAACCTCTAACTTTAGCCAGTTAAATTAACGATAGGATGAAAAAAATGAATGTAATTTCGGTATTTAAGTCATTGCAAAGAAACCTTTAAATATATCATAATAAACTGAACAATCTTGTAAATAATCTTTGCCTTTATACCTCAAGTTGTGAGGCTGAAAAGATTACTCTAGCTCTACCTCTCATTTCAAACAATTTTAGTCCTTTCCCCCATGATCCTGTTATTCTTCACAAATGTTCCTCTCTAGTCTTCTGTCTCTTCTCTCTTTAGAGGGAAACAAATCAATGTGAAGTACTCTAACAGACACATTTTTTTTTTCTTTAAGATTCTGGGAACTGTGTATTTTCTAGACTTGATATGCCACCACACAGCTTCAGTTTATACCAAGTGGAGGGTTTTCAATTCCTAGAAACTTTTTTATAATGTACCACTCATCACTTAAGTGCAAGGGATAAAGAGGCAATTGTACTGAAGTTAAATTCTAGAACTGTATTTATCCAATAAGCCCAAGTGCATTAACATAGAGCTTCAGGAATCACAAGAATTATATTTAGTAAACAATAATTACAAGACCAATATGAATTGGGTTTCCTTGGATTAAGTTAGATTTTCTTACCTTATATGTTGCCATTTTTCATCACTCACCTGACATTAAAAATTAAATTATATTATAAAATTAAATATTTTTATGAAGCTCTGAATAAAGTACTTGCAAGTCATTAGGTACCATTTGAAATTGAAAGATGTCCATTTCAGAAATTAAATGACATTAAAAACAAAGTATCTTTGCCTACTTAGTGATAAAGAATGAGGTGTTAGGAGATACAAAGCGACAACCTTAATATTAACTAAAAATTTTAAACTCTGAGGTTCAATCTGTTCAAGCTTCACACGATAAATATTTAGAAACTTACAACTTTCTCCTCTGAAGAAAGAACACCCTCTACTGCCACTATCTGGTATTGCTTATGTTTTAAATTTCCCACAAATTTCCGAAGTTGCTTGAGACTGCTAGCCTCCATGTCTTGCTTTAATAGTTTCTGCATTTCTCGAGAAGGACATCCAGGATCAAATATTAGTAAACATAATGTTCGGTTTTTTTTCTCTTCAATTCCAACAACTGTTCGACTATGACCTATCAAAAAAATAAAATAACAGCTATATATATGTGTGTGTCATATATATCTACCTATAGATATATACACAGATGTAAGTTAATATATATATATACACACATATACACAATATATTCTCTCTCTCTGTATATAGTATACGCGCACGTGTGTTTAGAATACTAATAGAGTCAGTCCCTCTGACATGTAGGTGTCTGAGCTCTCTCACTCCTAAGACACAAGAGTTTAGTTCTACTTCCTAATCTTCAGTTTTATTTTATTCAATTTTAGTTTTCTAAAGTCTTTATTACAAAAAATCTTACTTCTACTGTGCCATATATTTTAGTTTTTCTTTCCTAATCCCTTGATCCTTCTTATACAAATTATCTGAAATGACAGGATTTGAAATTTACCTACTATAGAACAAAAACTCTTATGGTCTCAAAAGGTAAACAAAATTAAATTTATATATACTAGAATTTCGAAGAAGAGGGCTTAACCTTTACAGCTTACATTCCTAAACAATGAAATTCCTAACATTTACTTGCTCTGATTCCTGTCAATCCAAATCATCCATTCAACAAAATTTATCACACATCCATGTGCCCAGGCACTATTATAGGTAGTTAGTGATACAGAAGCAAAAGAAACAAACATTCCTGCCTTCATGGAGCTTATATTCTAATCTGAAGAAATACTCTATAACCAAGGTAAGTAAGTGAAGTATACATTATGTTAGATATAGAAAAATAAAGCAGGGAAGAGGAACAGAAAATGCCAGTTGTGGAGGTGTGGGATAATGAGATGAAACTTTAAATAAAGTGGTCAGGGAAGACCGCATTGAAGTGATATATGGGTAAAGACCTGAAAATAGTAAGGGATGAACAATAAAGGAAGAGTGAACCAGGTGGCCCTGAAGATGCCAGGGATATCATCCTTCATGACCCAAGAATGTACTAGAATGACAATATAGCTCTGGAAATCGGAGAGACTAATGTCACAATACTCCCCTCCTCCCCATTATCAGAATCTTAACCTGTCCTAAAGCTAAAGCCAATTAGCTGTCTCATAAGTTATACTTATTATCTATCAGTTATACTAACCTTGATGCTGAAGATAGATAGGAGGCTTAGATGTACACACTACTTTTGGACTCCCTTCCCTCTCTGAAGAATAATAGTTCAATATCCACTCAAATAAGCGAGGGTGTGTACCCAAAGGACCAGTTGCCTTGTGAAAATCAACAATATGGCACCTATAAAAAATTGACAAAATGGATTATTTAGAGAATATTTTTAAAAATATTGTCATCAATCAAGTTATCAAACACAAAAAATTCTAAGTTTAGAAGTAATTTTACCTCATTATTATTTTCCTAAGAAAAAAGAAAACAAAAATTTTACTATTTATATGGAAAACTATCATTTTATGAGGAAATAATTATTTAAATAACTTCATAATATGGTTGATGACTGATCTAAAAGTTACATTTTCTGATATACAAAATCTCCATGAACAGTAAATGAGGACCATACTTGATTTTTAAGTCATCTACATATAAACTGAGTCACAGCTTTTATTCTAAGGTTTATTCTAAACTTGATAATCAATTAGAAGCCAACTTCTAATTTTAATTCCTCAACAGCCATTCGAGTCTATCAAAAATATCCTGCATATTTTTCCTGTCAGGTCTCTCAAATTCCAATAATAGACAAGAAAAGAATACCTGTAAAGATCATAGAAAAACTTCTATGTACCTCTATCTATACATATATCTATCTCCTATTTGGCACCAGACCACGGTGGTATTCTTTCCTTAAGAGGAAGTCAACCTTGAACAAACAAAATTCTTTTAACCAGAAGCACTCTCTACACTTCTCAACAACTATTTTTAAAAAGTCAGGCATAAGCAAAAGCAATTAAAAGCTTTATTTTCACTTTAAAACATAGCACAGATATCCTGTCCTTGTCTCTCTTGGCAATAAAATCTCCAAATACACCCAAATTGTAAAGGTTGCTATCTTTAGCCTCAGCAAGTTTAATGTTGATAAGTTTCAACTGATTATCAATGAGTTTTAAGTGTTGAAATGAACTTCTGGATAAACTGTTAAAAAGCAGGAACAGTGCTTTTGGGTTAGCAGTTGACTGCATGTTTAGATTTAGAATCTGAATAGTACCCTACAGAGCATAATTCATAGAGAACAAAAGGAAGACATTTAAATAACTAGTACACAAATTCAGGGTACAGTAATAAAGGGGCTTTATAAAAGACTAAATTTCAGCTACCAAGAAAAAAGCTGGATATATCTGGTATTTTAGATGAAAATTTTCCTTAATTAAAAATTATTTAGGGGCCGGCCCGGTGGCGCAAGCGGTTAAGTGTGGGCGCTCCACTGTGGCGGCCCGGGGTTTGCCAGTTAGGATCCTGGGCGTGCACCGACACACAGCTTGTTAAGCCGTGCTGTGGCGGCGTCCCATATAAAGTAGAGGAAGATGGCCACAGATATTAGCCCAGGGCCAGTCTTCCTGAGCAAAAAACAGGAGGATTGGCATTGGATGTTAGCTCAGCGCTGGTCCTCCTCACAAAAAAAAAAAAAAAAAAAATTATTTAAAAGCTCAGAACATGCAATAGTATACATAATCTGAAGGTGTGAACAGATGGAAAAAATAAAAAGAGGAAAAATAAATTTAGGAGGTATTAAAATAGTCCTTTCAATTTAAATAATCAAGAAATTTATTATATACACCTCAGTTTTTCGATTTAAAATTTAAGAAATATTTTTACCTCTGAATCTAATCAGTTAATATGGTAGAAAGATGTAAAATACTGAAGGAGAAAAGGATTTAAATACCCAAGGACAAGGGAATGAGGACAGGCAAGAAACTGCCACATATTTTTGAAAAATGGAAAGTAAGAGAGGAAACATAAAAGTGAATGCAAAGAAATAGAAACAATTGTCTTGCAACCCCAGAGAGGTTGAAATCTTAGAAGCAACATGTATTGAGAGGAGGAGTAGTGGAGCTAAAAATATGAGATTAATTGAAAGTTTGCATAAAAGAAGGCAAATCACTCCTCAATGCCCCCTCCACTAATACAGGAGCTGTAGGCAGGAGTGGAGAACTCCTTTGAATAGCCTCTGAGAAAAGATGTCTCTATAATGACATCTGAGAGTTCTCCAGCCAAACAGCAAGCTTCCACCTAAGCCTCTTAAATGAAGTCTGCTAATCTGCAAGCTCCATACAATCCTACAGCACCGCCAATCAGCTTTTTGGCAGCTCATTCCTCACTTTACGAATAGACAACTAAAGATTTAAAGAATTTAGAAGAAAGCATTCAAAAGGGAAAAGACTAAAATAAATAGACATGAAAACAAATTAACATAGAGGAAACAGAAAAATGCAAGGAATAGAAAGAAACAAAATGGTGGAAAAAAATTTTGCAACCATGAAAGACTACAATGCTATGAAATTACCTCTTAAAATTAAAAACATTATTGCTAAAATAAAAATGTCAATTGAATAGCTGGGAGATAAAGTTGAGTAAATCTAGATAGTCAAACAAAAAGCAAACATAAAAAATGAGGCAGGACCAATAAACTTATAAAGTCAAAGAAGTTCAATGGCCAACTAATAGGAGTTCCAGAAAGAAAAAAATGAAAATGGGAGGGGTCATATTTATCAAACAACAACAGTTTACCTCTGGGCTCTTATTACATGCCAGTCACAGTTCTAAGCACTTTATTATCTCCTTTAATTATCACTACAACTCTATGAAGCAGTTACTATCTACATGTTCTTTCACCAATGGTGGAACTATAGTACAGACAAGTTAAGTTATAGAGCTGGTAGAAAAGCTAGAATCAATTGCAGGTAATCTGACTCCAAAGTCCAAGCTCTTAACTAATATACTGAGATCTGACAACTCACAATTTCAGATTCAAAAGGAAAAACAAATGTCAAACGCAGTGAATCAAAGCCCAACATCCCATGGTGAAATCTCATAATATCAGGGCTAAGAAAAGGCAGAAAAAACTTCCAGAGAAAATAAACAAGTTATATGCAAAGGAATGAAAATCAGATGGCATCTTACCTTCTCAATAGTAATACTAACTGCTACAAGTCAACAGAGTAAAAACTTAATTTGATCTGAAACAATTTGAATTTAGAATAATATAGCCACCCAAACTATCATTTAAGTAATAAGGACTAGGCACTCTTTCTTAGGAAGCTAATGAAAGAAGTTTTCAAGCAAAATAGAGTAATCTAAAAAAGAGAAAAACATGGAATCCAGGAAAAATCCAGGCTCCAATTCAAGAAAGCAGTGAAGAAATGCTACACGATTATAGCTGTGGAGAAGATCTACAAGGCAAATAATCCAGACTGGAGCAAAAAGGGCAGATGGCTTCAAGAAGGAGGTGTTTAGGAATAAGGAGTACCTCAGATACGTGACAAAAGTGGAGTGTCTGAAAAAAATGTGAGACCACGAAGCAGTCAAATAGTAAAAGGGAAACGGAAAGGTAATTCTTAACTCGAGGAAAATTTTAAAAAGCTTTTCAGGAGAGGAAATAAAATCAGCAATGAATAATACTTACGCAGTCATGATGTAAACTCTGACTTTAACTTAATAAAAACTGAGATTTAACCCTATTAGAAGGACTGAGGGTGAACAGGTGGGAGACACAAGGGGAATGCAATAGACAATGTCTAAAACTGATAAACCAAGAAGAAAAAGCCATGAAAGCATATTATTTAAAAGCAACAGAAGTATCAGCTGCCTCCAAGAAACAAGACTTGAAAACAGAGAGGGGCATAAGATAGGGAATGAATTGCTGGTTTTCATTATAATCCTTTCAGTGCTACTTAAATTTTACTTTTTAACTGTCTCTTTGACAAAAACAAAAACAAAACCAACAACAACAAAAAAACCTCCCAGATCTGACAATAACATGAACTTGGGTTTTTAGGTACATACTTTATCCTTAGGGAGGTCAGAAGTGTATACACCTCACATGCTCCAATCCAGGCCTTTGTTCCCTGTAACCTGTTATTAAGTTGAGAGGCACCCTGAGGATCAAAACCTTCCTTCCATGCATCTTCAATCATAGACTGAATTTTTGGAATGCAAGGAACTGACATACCTAAAATTATACAGCAAACATATTACACGACAGTTACTAAAGTACTAAATAACATCATTTAGCAGTACACCATATACTCTAGAGGAACCTACAACACAGTTTTTAAGAGAGTTATTCCTCACATCTTCTATTGTATCCTTTTCTCTTCCTCCAACCAGAATTCAGGTTTTTAATGTAAATATCCACTAAACTACTTCTTCATTAAAGCTATTAATTGTGCCTACCATATATTAATTCATTCCATATCATATGCACTTTATCAGATGATAAGTTCAGAGTATTATATTTCTGAATACATACCTTTCAAGCAATCATCATAAGCATCATTTTGTAATAATGATGAAAGTAGCATTTGGAAATTTCTGTAACCACAACCCCAACCTTTGTCACCAAAAGATGAATGAAAGTGATCCACCACTGCAGAAAGCCACACACGCCTCACATCTGTGGCAGCATTCTGATAATACCTACAAAGTGCTTCAATAATTCCTAAAGCAGAAAAGAGATTTAGAAGATTTGGGATTAGTTATCATCTTTCTATGGCTGTTTCATGTATTTCTTTCTTTTTTTTTTTTTTTTTTTGTGCGTGAGGAAGATCAGCCCTGAGCTAACATCCATGCTAATTCTCCTTGTTTGTGCTGAGGAAGACCAGCTCTGAGCTAACATATATTGCCAATCCTCCTCCTTTTTTTTTCCCCAAAGCCCCAGTAGATAGTTGTATGTCATAGCTGCACATTCTTCTAGTTGCTGTATGTGGGACGCAGCCTCAGCATGGCCGGAGAAGCAGTGCGTCGGTGCGCACCGGGGATCCGAACCCGGGCCGCCAGCAGCGGAGCGTGCGCACTTAACCGCTAAGCCACGGGGCCGGCCCTCATCTTCATCTTCTTACTGATATAACCTTAGTTCACGGCCTCTTGTTACTATTATGCAGGTTTCCTAACACTAGCATATTACTTATTACACTGAATGGAAATTGTCTGCATCTTTCATCTCTGCATCTGCAGGGCCCAGCACATAAAAGTACACTGTTGAATGAAAGCTCCTCTTGTCTCTACATTTTATTATACATACTGCTGGACATCACTGTCTCTGAAGCTCAGTCCTAATCTGCTCCCAATTAAAAAACCTCAATAGCTTCCTATTACCTATGGAATAGGTTTAATCCAGGGTATATGTAGCCCACAGCAAGCTATCCTCTAACTTACCTTTATTTCAAACCACTCTTCTTGCCATAATTTTGGCTGTGGCCTAACTGGATGCATTAAACATGATTTTGCCCATGGAGTTTTCATTCAATTACAATATTTGTTAAGCACTTTTTTAATATGCCTAGCACTATGCTAACACTAAGGATACAAAAGATGAATATGACAATATTCCTTGAAATCTCAGGGACCTAGACTATAATAAGTGCCATAAAATGGATAAACAAGGTGTTAGGACAGGGTACATCTGACTCTGTCCCTTTCCTCCTTCTAGTATACTCTCCTTATGTTTCAACATCCTACAGATACTCCAAGGATCAAATGCTACTGTCTTCATAGACCTTTCTCTTGATTCCAAAACCCCAAACAAAAAGGTCCTCTTTCTCTGAACACTCACTATATTTACGTATTGTTCCCCCTAGGTACTAGCCATATTCTCTCACGGTGGAATAATACAGTTATTTGTGTATACTTTATTTACTCTACGGACTCTGTGAAGCTTATTGGCAGGGATGTCTTATTTGGATAGCCCATACTTTCTCATACAGCATGTGGCACCAAAAAGACAATCACTAAATGCTTCTCCCTTGAATGAAGGGTATACTATAGGAAAATGGGTTTTTGTCTTTAAGAAGATAGAGTCAATAAACCAAAATAATTAAATGAACCAAGAGTTGTAGCTGTGCCTATCACCATGAAAGAAAGAAATATAGATCTTTATAACCATTTCCAAGGAACTTAGAAAGATAAGACTTACTATCAAAAAAAGGGACACTTAAAACACCATACAATTGAGTAGTAAATGTGGTAGCATGGAATGGGTACTACAGGAATTCAGAGAAGATATCATAGACTTCAATGAAGAAATTGAGATCTGAGAGAGACTTTTAAGAATGAGGGGGGAACCTCCAAGAAAAAAGAAAAGAAAGTATTGTATACTCTAGTATACTTCGGCATACTTATTACTAACATGAGGGTGCCGCACTGTCTAGGTAATGCTGTCCTAACAACCACATCATATAACTGCTTTAAGGAAAAATTTCCTCATAATAAAGTTTACGGTTTTTTTCTTAATTGAGGTATAATTGGCATACAATATCTTATTGATAACAAAGCTTTTTATTCCTTAGATCTAAATCTCTTTAGATATTTTACAAGATGAATCTATCTTTTGTTAAATTATATTTCATTGTTAAAATTATAACAAGAGGGGCTGGCCCTGTGGTGTAGTGGTTAAGTGAGCGCGCTCCACTGCTGGCAGCCTGGGTTCAGATCCCAGGCGTGCACCGATGCACTGCTTGTCAGGCCATGCTGTGGCAGCATCCCATATAAAGTGGAAGAAGATGGGCACAGATGTTAGCCCAGGGCCAGTCTTCCTCAGCAAAAAAAGAGGAGGATTGGCATGGATCTTAGCTCAGGGCTGATCTTCACACACACACACACACAAAAATTATAACAAGAGACTGCTGCTTCGATTAACAGTTGCATAATTAACAAAAAATAAAAATCTTTGCCACTAAATCAATCACTTCTAAATTTCAAGGTAGCTTATAAAAAAGACATAGTATACTATAGGGTAGTGTCCTTTAATCTTTTGCAGATATATTTATTTTAAATTCTATATACACTACTGTATTCTATAGTAACTCTAAAATATATGCATGAATAGAAATTAAAGGATGACATAAATTAAAAACAAATAGATATTCTAGTATTTTCTTCCTGTATACCTTAATGAATTATATTACACATCTTCTGGGATATCCTACCCCACACAGAAAACTTTTTTTTTTTTTTTTTTTTGGTGAGGAAGATTGGCCCTGAGCTAACATCTGTGCCAATCCTCCTCTATTTTGCATGCAGGATGCCTCCACGGCATGGCTTAATGAGCACTGTATAGGTCTGCGTCTAGGATCCGAAGCCCGTGACCCCTGGGCCACCAAAGCGGAGCACATGAATTTAACCACTACACCACTGGCTGGCCCCCACACAGAAACCTTTTTACGTGGAGACCACTCAAGAATTATAAAGCAGCCTTCAGAAACAGACTCATGGATATATAAAAATATATAACATACAGTATAAGTGAGAAAAGCACAAATTCACTAAATGGTACTGAGATAAATAAGCAATAAAAGCTTAACAAGAAGTATGGTTATAAATAAGGGGAAAAAATTAGATTCATACCTTCTTTCTCTTTCTCTCCCTCCCTGTCTCACACACACAAGTGCACAAATATATTCCAAGTGGATTAAAAGTCAAAATATGAAAAGCAAAGTATAAATATTTAAAGAAAATATAAAGGAATATGTTTACTATCTCAAAGATGGGGGAGTTTCTTAAATAAGATAGGGTACAAATAAAGGGAAAGATTGAGAAATGTGATTATATTCTAATTTAAAACTCTAATTAACGACACCATATACAAAATTTAAAGGCAAATCATAGACTTGAAGAAGAAATTTGCATCTCAAATAATCAACAAAGAATTAGTTTCCTGAATACTTAAAGGACTCCCACAAATCAATAAGAAAAAGACAAACCACCCAATAGAGAATGAAGAAAGGGAATAGGTTCCAAGAAACTAACTCAGGAGTAGTCAGGGAAATGTACATTAAGATATATATCATCTCATGCCGTATTAAATTGCAAAAATTAAAGTGTCACCAAACAAAGTGTTAGTGAGAATATAGTGATACAAATGTACATTACGACCATTTTGGAAAACAATTCCACAATAACCTTAACAAAGTGAAAGAGGCACGTGCCGTTTAACCTAGTATTTCCAGTTCTGGATGCTAGAGAAACTCTTGAAGGAGACCTATTCATAAGTTGTGAGAGTTAAAAACTGGAAACAACCTAAATGTCTGTAAACATGAAAACAGATAAATAAGTTGTGCATAATTCATACAAGGAAATACTATACAGCAATCAACATGAATGAACTACAGCTGTAAGAATCAACATATGTGAGCAAATCAAATTAGAGCACAGACATTGTATACCAATTTATATGTAGTTTAAACACATAGAATATTATATATTATTTATGGCAAAAGTATTAAAACATATACAAGACCGATAAATACCAAATTCAGGATAATGGTTCCCTTTGTGGAGGGAAAGAAATAGAATCAGAGAGGAGTATATAAGTGGTTTAAAATACATATGAAAGGTTTTACAGCTTTAAAACATTAAGATTCAAAAAAGCTGGGTGGTGGGAACAAAGCTGTTCCCATATAATGTTTTTTTTACTACACTAAGAGATATATTTAAAAAAAGAAATTAAAAACATCAGGAAAAAAGGCATTCTTTGGAGCAAGGCAGATCTGACTGTGAGTACTAGCTGGGCCAATAACTAGCTATGTAACCTTACTTTGGGAAAGTAATTTAACCTCTCTATGTCACAATTACCTTATCCAGAAAAATGTAACAGTACACAACAGAATGTTTGTTTTGAGAATTAAATAATATAATATATATAAAGGTCTTAGTGTCTAAAACTGTACTGAACAATATGGTAGCCACTATCTACAAGTGGCTATTAAGCACTTGAAATGTGGGTTGTCCAACTGAGATGTTCTGTAAAGTATAAAATACACATTGGATTTTGAAGAATGTACAAAGACTGCAAAATATCTCATTAATAGTTTTATTATTGATTATATGTTGAAATAATAATATTATGGACACACTGGGTTTAAAATATTAAAAGTAATTTCACCTGGTCCCTTTTATTTTTTCTAATGTAACTATTGGAAATTTAAAACTATATATGTGGCTCACTTATATTTCTATTTTACAGCATTGGTTTAGGACACAGTAAGCCCGCAACAAAAAGTTTTCTAAAAGGTTCGTTTTCAAATGTCAAGTAAATTAACACAATATAAAAGTGAATTATTCTTAAGTGAATTATTTACTGTAAAAATAGAGATGTAGAACTTTCAAAACAACACATTTTTAAAAATTATTTGAACACACAGCCTCACCTAAAACTATATAAACTGTGGATTATGAAAATTAAGCAAAATTCAAATAATTCTGATTATGACTTCAGTGACATATGGAACATTAACACCATGATTTTGACGTACTCACCAGAAGTTTTTGTTTTTCCATCGTCAATACCAATAGCTAGTGATTCCATCATATCAGCTTTCCTTCTATGAAATTCAGATGGATGCATTCTTCCCCTATTTACTTCTATCTCCATATTTCGTAGTTGCTGTTGTTTGTACCCTCCAGAATTATCTAAACCATATTGTCTCTATTGAACATAAAAACAAAATGACTTAGTTTTCATGTCCCTTTACCTCAATGATGGAAACTTACCACAATTTTATTTATTTGGAAATGTATTTTGAAACATTCCAATTTATAGACTTTTATACAAGTCAACTTAAAGATTTTTAAGAAAAATAAATCACACGCAAAAAAAATCTCTGAGTTATTAACAGTCTTTCTCTATAAACCACCACTGTGGCAAGAGACTTGCTTCCTCGCCCTAGGGAAAGTAGAGAATCCTGTCCTCCCACTAAAGGTATTGAGGCAGATGAGTTCTGAACATAATGCTGATTTTTTCAAGAAAACTTGTCAGTACTTGTTCTTTGGTTCCTGGGCTAGCCTATAAAGGCCTACTTAACCTGTAATTCATTCAGGCAATCATTCTACATAGTAAATGAACTATGTTTTTGCACACTGGACACAGAATCTCAAAAAATATGTATCAAACAGCCTCTATGGAGAAAGTTTCTGAGATCTAAACAACTAACTTCCAAAGTTACAGAACAAACTCCCCTTAAATACTGAAAACTTTTTGTACTAATAATGTTCGAAATTACATAAGGCAAAAAAGATTTAAGAAGAGCCAACTTTCTTTTCTCCTCTGAATCCTGGTGGGAAAATATTTTGCAAAAATAGCCTAAATTAGATATTCCAATGTGAGAATTAGATATTCTCACACACAGCCACATGTGAGCGGTCTGAGAAAAGAAAATCAGAGGTCAAATAAGTCTCGGAAAATTATAACACGCACAATACACATTAGTATATTAAAGGCTTGAGAAGTCCTAAAGTATACAAACCTGTTTAACTGAACACTTTCAATTCTATTCCATTATAAGCCTTTTTTTTTTTTTTGTGAGGAAGATCAGCCCTGAGCTAACATCCGTGCTAATCCTCCTCTTTTTGCTGAGGAAGACCGGCTCTGAGCTAACATCTATTGCCAAGCCTCCCCTCCTTTTTTTTCCCCCCCAAAGTTCCAGTAGATAGTTGTATGTCATAGTTGCACATCCTTCTAGTTGCTGTATGTGGGACGCGGCCTCAGCGTGGCCAGAGAAGCGGTGCGTTGTTGCGCGCCCAGGATCCGAACCCGGGCCGCAAGTAGCAGAGCGCGCGCACTTAACCGCTAAGCCATATAAACCCTTTTTATTCACACATTATCCCATTAACACATGGAAAAAGAACATTTAAATACTCTATGAGCATTATTTGCACAGATGACATCATAGTCCACAGCAAATTAGGACTGAAAAATGTAGAAAAATCTATTAAAAATATAAATTCATTAAAAATATAATAGATACCACCAATTTAGTTCAACAGATACCACCACTCACCTAACATAAATGACATCTCAAATATCATCAAAAAGCATTTTTCATTAAAAATGGTTCTTTCTAAATGCCTGAATTGCAACCATTAAAAGAATTTAAGACTCAGACAGGAGACATTAATTCTGTTTATCTTTTCCGTATCTATATACTTAAATTCTGAGTCTTGGTTTCCTAATTTGCCCCATCAACTTAACAGAGGTTTGAATCCAGGCTTTACCATATAAAACTGCCTGATCTTGAGCAAGTTAAGTTACTTAAGCACTCTTTGTCTCCGTTTCTTACCTTTAAAAAAATAAAAGTCTAAAATAACTTTTTCATGGAGTTGTGAGTATTTTGAGATACTATATATGAAGTGCTTACCCCAGTACATTACCAGAATGAGTACTTATAAATGGTGGCTGTTATGAACTATAAAATATATATGTTAAAAAATATTTTGTATAATAACAAGGATAAAAATAATAGGCTGAAGTCTTGACAACATGAATGAAAAATAAGAACTCTACTAAACCAAAATATTATAATTGTTATTAATCTTTGTACCTGCAGCTTCTGAAATTCTTCCATTTCTTGTCTTGATTCTTCAGATCTCCTCTTTCTGTCTTCTTCTTGTTGAAGCTGGTGAGCCAATTCTAGATCTCTAGAACACTGGATTCTATCCATGCCTATTAGATATTTTTAATCTTTAGAATAAAATAACTACTAAAATCAAAGCTTACTTATTACATGTTAACATATATTTTCTAAATGGAGTAAATACTATTATTTTGTCATTTATTCATGACTATGATGTCATGGAAACACTGAGTACAAATCTAGCAGAACTTGAACTGCTTCTGGAAGGGTATAACCTACATCTAAATCACTAATATTCACTGAGAGTTTAGGCTGTGACAAGCACTTTTCATTAATTATCTCATTTGATCCTCATAACAACCTTAGGAAGTTAGGTATTATGATCTACTGAGGAAACCAGAACTTAGAGAAATTAACATCCTTCACTGGTGTTCCTTATTAACACAAATAAGGCAGATTGGTTTTTAAAAGAAATACTAAGGAGGAAAAAGGAAATAATAACGACCATAAAATTATATGTTTGCAAAGTACAGGTATTAGATAATAACTTAATTAAAGTCTGGCCCCAAACAAATACTACAACTTTGCAACATCTTGGTCTTTTTCCTCTCTACCCAGTGTCCCACAGATCCATTAGTCAGTGGCTTCTGGCCAGCATCTTGTCTCCTTGATCTCCCAATTTGATAGTTTAACTACGCATTTGAACATTCTTTCTTTCCTTTCAAATCTCTCAGCCTCTGTTACATCTTCCTATTTAGTCCCTACTTCCATTGTTGGAGATATGCAATTCACAACTGACTTTTTACATACTTCTGAGGCTATCTACAGTGATTTACTCAGACCATATCTTTCTCTCATTACCTACTATAGACTTACAGAATAATTTATGCACCCACACAAAGCTTATCAAAAACAAAGTAAGAATTATCAGACATTCAGCTTCAGAGGGTTATTCTTCCACAGTAGTTAGTAGAGAGCCACCAGAGTAGAGGACTGTTCCATCTTTGCTCCAGGAATTCTCATCTTGGGACTAGGCTGAGTGATCGAGTAACGCAGTCCAGAGATCATTGACTGGAACTAAGATACTAATACTGGACACTAAAGACCCTTGCATTAACAGGAAAGATCTATGTACCACTCTAAGAAACTGAAATCCAGTAGAACACAACTGGTTTCTCTTAGGGTCTACTTTATATTTTGTTTCAGTCGGATTGTGAAACTCATATAGGATCTTCCCACTTCTAAGGCACCACAATGATTACTTAACCAATGCCACTATTAAAAAAGATAGGGGACAGTACGTATATATAGATATGATAGTATACGTAACTCATTTTCAAATATATGTCCACATCATTTATTCTTTTTCACACTTGCTTAAAGTTAGAAAAATTAGACATATACATTTAAAACTCATTACTGTTGCATTTAAGCATATATCATTCTAGGTTTGTTTTTTCTTTGTGTGTGTGTGTGTGTGCATGTATGTATGTATATATATGCACGCATATATACCTGCATGTGTCTATCTATGTAAATGTATGTACGTTTTTGATCACACAGAGCATATGTTACCTGATATTAAACCTTATAAATACAAAAAAAAAAAGGGGACAGAGGAAAACTCTTATACAATCACTTACAAAACTAGTAAGTGGTAATGAAAGAAGCTGGGCAAGCAGCTGGAAACGCTCTTGAAAAACTTTTAAGTCACATAGTTCACATTCTTTTTAAAAATTCTATGTGCCATATGGCAGCTTCTTAGTTCATCAATAATTTTTTCTGGCCAGATGCTAACTTCAGTTACTTCTAGCTGCTGAAAGAGGGGCCTCAACTTATAAATAAAACAGATTTTTAAGATTGCACAGCATTTCATTGTCTTCTAAATAAGGATGCTCTGGGGCAAAGCCCTGGATGCACACCCCTAGTTCAGCTGTAAGTCACAATAGTTCATCCCTTACAACTTTTCTGTGAAACAACTTTTAAAAAACAAGTTGAAGCTAAATTAAAATTCTTTACAGGGACATATTTACTTTTAACCAATATGCTTTGTTTTTTCTATATCACTGATCTAAAAATTAGACATGTGTCCTAGTAAGTGGAAATTAAATCATAAAATTCTTATTTTTAAACATGTAAACATACCTTGCCCAAAGTTACTTTCTTCCAAATGCAAGTTGACATGTTCCTGGAGAATATGGTAATGTGTACAGACGAGCCCACACATAGGGCAGTCATACAGTGGTTGATCACAGTCTGTATTAAGAGATATAATTCAATTGATTTTATTTTTAAAACTGTTAGATTTTTCACACCAAGTCAAAGACGGCCTACTACCCACCAACCTTATTAAATAAATAAGAGCTCTTTGTAGTTGGATTTAAATCTATTTTTCTACTTCAGGGTCAAGATGGAAGACTGAACATAAACACAAACCTCTCTTACCACTACAGTGAAAGAAAGTCTTGACAACATTAAAGTCTTGACAACACTAATAATAAACATTCAGATCTGTAGTCAAAACAAGAAAAGTAGGAAGGAAAATCAAAATGGTAAGTAGAGGCCAGTCTAGGTATGGACTTTAGGGGCTAAATCCTCAGCATCCTCCAAACTAAATACAGAATTCAAGCCTCCAGCATAAAGCTGGGAACTGGGATCATACTGTGTAGCTGGGAGCAGGAGATCAAAGAGCTGCATGCATCAATCGGCACTGCAGGCAGATAGGTGTAGCTTGCTCAGGACAGAAGCAGCAGCACCTCTGCAAGCCCAAGACCTGGGTGATACTGGGCACAGAAGAGGAAGCCGGTGTGCGGAGTGAAAGCACTGAGCAATTCATACATGTAAGGCCTGGTTTGGAAGTGAAATAACTCTGTTCGGAAAGTAGCTGAGACTGCTGTGCAGCTGTTTATTTCTGCAGACAAAGTGAATATAACTGGTTTCATTTTAGCTGGATCAGCTGACTTCAAAACTGAACTAAGTCAATCTAATACGTCTGACTGGAGGTTTTAATAAAAAGTTCTGAAATTAGTTGATATATCGTATGGTGGTGAAAATGGAAACGAAGCTATTGAGTTACCTACTGATGTCCTCTCCAAGATGAAATTCATTCAAAAGAAGAAATTAATTCAATGACACTTTGATAAAATCAGCCAGGACACAGACAAGCACTGTTTTGGAGCTGAAGATACACTAAAGGCTTTGGAAATGGGAGCTATAGAGATCCCAATAGTTTATGAAAATCTGAATATAATGAGATATGTTCTTCATTGCCAAGGCACAGAAGAGGAGAAAATTCTCTACCTAACTGCAGAAAAAGAGAAGAATAAATCTCATTTCACAGACAGGACAGGAACCTGAGCTGATTAAAAACACACTCCTGCTGAAATGGTTTGCTAACAATTATAAAAAATTTGGAACTACACTGGAAACTGTCACAGATAAGTCACAAGGATCCCAGTCTGAGAAAGGATTTGGTGGAGTTGGAGGTATCGTGCAGTACCAAGTAGACCTCCAGGGAACGGAATACCAAGGAGGACATGATACATTTTTTGAACTTGATGACTACTAGGTAGTTGACATGGGTCCCTCAAAATGTGCCTTACCCTGCAGCATTCAACCCAAGGAGCATACTTGTGGTGGAATCCAAACAGATCCCTGCCTTAAAATTGTACTATTTCCAGAATTTAATCCATGAGCATCAGATATTGAAAAGAAAAGCAGGGCCAGCCCCGTGGCTTAGCGGTTAAGTGCGCGCGCTCCGCTGCTGGTGGCCCGGGTTCGGATCCCGGGCGCACACGACGCACCGCTTGTCTGGCCGTGCTGAGGCCGCGTCCCACATACAGCAACTAGAAGGATGTGCAGCTATGACATACAACTATCTACTGGGGCTTTGGGGGGAAAAAAAAAGAAAAAAGAAAACCAAAACAAAACCGGACCCAACTCTAAACTTTGGTTTGTCATGGCGTCAGCACACTAGCCTACAAAGTTTCTAAATGCCACTTTGGACTAATTTTAAAAAGAAACCCAGTTTTTACTTTTACTTGACAGTGAAATTGGTTGCTCTTGTATTTTATGAAAAAAATGATTTTTTTAACTTTCACACATACAAGAAAAAACACTTTAAGGGCTATAAACCTTCAAGAGTTAATAGAGGGCCGGCCCCGTGGTGTAGCAGTTAAGTGCGTGCACTCCGCTACTGTCGGCCTGGGTTCGGATCCCAGGCACACACCGAGGCACCGCTTCTCCGGCCATGCTGAGGCCGTGTCCCACATACAACAACTAGAAGGACGTGCAACTATGACGTACAACTATCTACTGGGACTTTGGGGGGGAAAAAAAAAGGAGGATTGGCAATAGATGTTATCTCAGAGCCGGTCTTCCTCAGCGAAAAGAGGAGGATTAGCATGGATGTTAGCTCAGGGCTGATCTTCCTCACAAAAAAAAAAAAAAAAGAATTAATAGAAGTGACATTATAAAAGAAATAGAAACACTAGAGATAAAAAACACAGAAGTTAGTGCTCATTAGCAGGTTAGACATGGCTGAGGAAAAGAATCTCTGAGCTTGAAGATATAACAAGAGATACTTCCCAAACTAAAGTGTAAAAAGAAAAAAGACGAAAAAAAAAACAGAACAAAATATCCAAAAACTGTGGGAGAACTACAAAAGGTGTCATATACATATAATGTGAATACCAGAAGAAGAAAGAAAGGAACAGAAGTAATATCTGAAGCAATAATGACTGAGAATTTCCTCAAATTAACGTCAGACACCAAATCACAGCTCTAGGAAGCTCAGAAAACACCCAAGCAGGATAAATGTCAAAAAAACTGTACCTAGGAATAGCATATTCAAACTTAAAAAAATCAAAGATAAAAAATATCTTGAGGGGCCGGCCCGGTGGCGTAGTGGCTGGGTTTGCGCGCTCTGCTTTGGCGGCCTGGGGTTTGCAGGTTTGGATCCCAGGCGCAGACGAACACACCATTCATCAAGCCATGTTGTGGCAGCATCCCATATGCAAAATGGAGGAAGATGGGCAGAGGGTTAATCTTCCTCAGCAAAAAGAGGAGGACTGGCAATGGATGTTAGCTCAGAGCCAGTCTTCCTCAAAAAAAAAAAAAATCTTGAAAGAGGCCAAAGGAAAAAAACCACTTTACCTATAGAAGAGCAAAGAATTACATCTGACTTCTTCTCAGAAACCAGGTGAGCAATGAGAAAGGGGAGTGAAATATTTAAAGTGTCCAGAGGAAAAATACCCCACCAAACCTAGAATTCTGTAACCTTCAAAATTATCCTTCAAAAGTAAAGGAGAAATAAAGAATTTCTCAAACAAAAATTGAGGGAATTTGTTGCCAGTAGACCTGCCTTGCAAGAAACATTAAAAGAAGTTCTTTAGAGAGAAGGAAAATGATACAGGCCAGAAACATGTGTAAATATAAAAGAAGAGCATCAGAGAAGAAATAAGTGAAGGTAAAATAAAAACTTTTATTTATTCTTAATTGACATAATAGATAAGTTTATTCAAAACAAAAATAGCAACAATGTATTCAATAATGTATGCATATATATGTTTATGTTTATGTGAAATGAATGACAGCGGTGATACAAGGGGCAGGGGGAGGAATGAGGAATATTTTGTTATAATAAGGTATTTGCAGAACCCATGCAGCAGTATAGTGTTATTCCAAAGGAGACTTGGATTAGTTCTTAACGTATACTGCAAACTCTAGGCCAACCACTAACAAAAGTAAACACAGAAATATAATTGATACGCTAAGAAAGGAGAGTGTTGAGCAAGTGGCATCTGTTACCTATTATCTGGAGTAGAAGTCTGAACACCGCATCTTGGTATCAGAATCGCCAAGGAAGACATAATACAGCTAAGCACTGGATGGAAGAACACTTTACTCATAGTAAACATAGAAAAACACATAGAAAAGAGACAGAACAAGATCAACTTCAGTATTAAACACTGGTCTGTCATGGCCAGCGGGTCACTCCCAGAAGCCAACACAGAGCAATTGGTCGGCACACATCCCTCTTGTGCCGCAGAATGAAGGACCTCATCCCCTTCCCACAGGGGACAGACAGATATAGCAGTAAGGCTGGGCAGGTGCCATATGACACCCACACTTAAGCAGAATAAAGGAGTACACATTGTTGTCTGAAACAGGGAAAGATTTTTCCACACAAAGGGGTAAGTCCAGCACAGGCTGTGAGGACTCTTTATATCTTGATAAGGAAGTGTTCCAGGCCTAAGGCCTATTCTTATATGGCCAAGTAGGGGTCCAAAGACTGGATGCATGAACTGTCCTTCCCAACAGAAGAAAATGGAATCATATAAAATCCTTGATTAAAACCATAAAAGGCAGAAAAAGAGTAGTAGACAAAAAAGAGGAACAAAGAACAAGGGCAACAAATAGAAAACAGTAACAAATATAGTAGATATTAATCCACCTACTAGAATAATGCACCAATTAAGAGACAGAGATTGCCACAGTGGATCAAAAAACAAGACTGACTTATATGCTACCTAGAAGATACCCACTTTAAACATAAACACACATATAGGTGAAAAGTAAAGGGATAGAGAAAAATACACGCTGCTGACACTAATCAAAAAAAAGCAGGAGTAGCTATATTAACTTCAGAGAGAGCAGATTTCAGAACCAGGAATGTTATCAGGGATAAAGTGGGGCATTACATAAATGATAAAGGCTTCAATACTCCACGAAGACATAACAATCCTTAACGTGTATGTACCTAACAACAGAGTATAAAAATATGTGAGGTAAAAACTGACAGAACTGCAAAGAGAAACAGGTGAATCAGCTATTATACAGTTAGAGAATTTTCAACACTTCTCTATCAGAAGTGGAAAGATCCAGCAGCCAGAAAATACGTTAGGATACAGTTGAACTCAACAGTACCATCAATCAACCGGATATAGTGAACACCTCTATACCTCTCCATCCAACAACAGCAGAATACACATTCTGCTCAAGCTCATATAAAACACTCACCAAGAGAGACCATATTCTAGGCCATAAAACACATTCTAGGCCATTAAACCTTAAGAAATTTAAAGAACAGAAATCACACAATGTCTGCTCTCAGACCACAACGGAATTAAACTAGAAATCAATTAACAAAAAGATAGCTGGAAAATCACAAAACAGTTGGAGAATAAACAACACACATCTAAATAACAACACATAAGGAAGAAATCTCAAGCGAAATTAAAAAATATTTTGAACTAAATGAAAATTAAAATACAACTTAAAATTTGTACAATGCAGCAAAAGCATTGCGTAGAAGGAAATTTACAACATTGAATGCATAGATCAGAAAAGAAGAAAAATCTAAAACCAATCATCTAAACTTCCACTTCAGGAAACAAGAACAAATTAAATCCAAGGTAAGCAGAATAAAAAAATAATAAAAATCAGAGTAGATATCAATGAAATTGAAAACAGAAAATCAATAGAGAAAACCAAAGAGGCCAAAAGCTGTTTCTATGAAAAAAATCAATAAAATCAATAAGCCTCTAGCCAAGCTAACTAAGAAAAAAGGAGAGAAAACAAATTACTAATATCACAAATAAAAGAGGGGACATCACTATACGTCCCATGAACGTTAAAAAGTATAATAAAGGACTATTATGAACAACTATGCCCACAAATTTGATAACCTAGATGAAATAGACCAATTCCTTTAAAGACACAATGAGGCAAAAGTCACACAAGAAGAAAACAGACAATCTGAATAAGCCTATATATTAAAGAAATTGGATGAATAACATTCGTGGGCACCTGGCCCAGATGGGTTAACTGATGAATTCTACCAAAGACTTAAGGAGGAAGTTATACCAATTCCTACAACCTCTTCCAGAAAACAGAAGCAACGAGATTTCCTAACTCACGAAATGAGGCCAGCATTACCTTATTACCAAAACCAGACAATGACAATCAAGAAAAAAAAACTACAGACCAATCTCTCTCATTAACAGAGATGCAAAATTCCCAATTACACCAGCAAATTGACTCCAATAATGTATAAAAAGAATCCCACTGTGATCAAGTGGGATTTATCCCAAGTATGCAAGGCTAATCCAACATTTAAAAATCAAATAATGTAATTCATCACATCAACAGGCTAAAAAAGAAAAATCACATGATCACATCAATGGATGCAGAAAAAACATTTGACAAAACGCAACACCTATTCATGATAGAAACTCTCAGCAAACTAGAAATGGAGGGCACTTCTTTAACTTGATAAAGAATATCTGCAAAAACCTACAGCTAACATCATACTTAATGATGAGAAAAAAATACAAAATTCTGATGAAGGAAATCAAAGAACAACTAAATAAATGGAGAGATATTTCTTGTTCATGATAGGAAGATTCAATATTGTCAAGATGTTAGTTCTTCCCAACTTGATCTGTAGATTCAATGCCATCCCAATCAAAATCCCAGCAAGCTATTTTGTGGATATCGACAAATTGATTCTAAAGTTTATATGGAGAAACAAAAGATCCAGAATAGCCAACACGATATTAAAGAACAAAGTTGGAGGAGTGGCACTATCTGACTTCAAAACTTACTATAAACCTACAGCATCAAGACAGTGTAGTACTGGAAAAAGAACAGACAAATAGATCAGTGGAACACAATAGAGAGCCCAGAAACAAACTGACATAAATATAGTGAACTGATCTTTGACAAAGAAGCAAAGGCAGGGCCGGCCGTGGCTTAGCGGTTAAGTGCGCGCACTCCACTGCTGGCGGCCCGGGTTCGGATCCCGGGCGCGCACAGATGCACCGCTTCTCCGGCCTCGGCCGCGTCCCACATACAGCAACTAGAAGGATGTGCAGCTATGACATACAACTATCTACTGGGGCTTTGGGGGGAAAAAATAAATAAGTAAAAATCTTTAAAAAAAAAAAAAAGAAGCAAAGGCAGTAAAATAGAGCAAAGACAGTCTTTTCAACAAATGGTGCTGGAACATCTGGATATCAACATGAAAAGAAAATGAATCTAGAAATAGACCTCACATCCTTCACAAAAAGTAACTTGAAAATAGATCACAGATCTAGATGATAATTGCAAATCTATAAAATTCCTAGAAGATAACATAGGAGAAAATTTAAATGACCTTGGGTATGGCGATGACTTTTAAGATACAACACCAAAGGCATGATCAATGTATGAAATAAGTGATAAAGTGAATTTCATTAAAATAAAAAACCTCTGCCCTGCAAAAGACAATGTCAAGACAATGAGAACACAAGCCACAGGAACGGAGAAAATATTTGCAAAAGACACGTGATAAGGATCTGTTATCCAAAATATAAAACAACTCTTAAAAATCAACAATAAGAAACCAAAAGCCAGATTAAAAAATGGGCCAAAGACCTTCACAGACACTTCACCAAAGAAGATATACAGATTGTAAGTAAGCATATTAAAAGATGTTCATCATATGTTACTAGAGAATTGCAAATTAAAATGAGATACCACTATACCCACATTAAAATGGCCAAATCTGGACTGGAACACTCACACCACCAAATGCTGGGGAGGATGTGGAGCAACAGGCACTTTCATTCACTGCTGGTGTTAATGCAAAATGGGATAGCTAATTTGGAAGAGTTTGGCAGTTTATTATAAAACTATACACACTGATACCATATGATCTAGTAATGATACAGAATTTGGTATTTACTCAAATGAATTGAAAACTTCTGTCCACACAAAAACCTGCACACAGATGTTTATAGCAGTTTTACTGATAATTGCCAAAACTTGGAAGCAACCAAGTAGGTGAATGGATAAACCGTGGTACACCTAGACAATGGAATATTATTCAGTACTAAAAAGAAATGAACTAGCAAGCTATGAAAAGACATGGAGGAAACTTAAATGCATATTACTACGTGAAAGAAATCAATCTGAGAAAGCAATATACTGTATGATTCCAGTTATATGACATTCTGGAAAAAGCAAACTATGGAGACAGTGAAAGATCAGTGGTTGCCAGGGGTTGGGGGGAGGACGGGATGAACAGCTGGAGCACAGAGGATTTTTAGGGCAGTGAAACTATTCTGAATGATACTACCATGGTGGGTATATGTCATCATACATTTGACAAAACCTGTAGAATATACAACACCAAGAGTGAACCCTAATGTAAACTATGGACTTTGGGTGATAATGATGTGTCAATATAGGTTCATTGATTGTAACAAACGCATCACTTGGTACAAATGATGTCAATAGTGGAGGAGGCTGTGAGTATATAGGGACGGGGGGTACACGAGTACTCTCTGTACTTTCTGCTCAATTTTGCTGTGAACCTGAAACTGCTCCAAAAAATAATATTTATTAATTTAAAAAAATGAATCTAGACACTCTCCTTACATCTTTTATAAAATTAACTCAAATGAATCATAGACTTAAATGTAAAATTCAAAACTACAAAACTTCTAGAAGATAACATAGGAAAGGTGACCTTGGATTTGGCAATGACTTTTTAGATAAAACACCAAAAGCACAATCCATGGAAGAAGAAATCAAATAATTTGCACTTCATTAAAGTAAAAACTTCTGTTCTGCAAAAGACACTGTTAAGAGAAGGAAAAGACAAGCCCCAGACTGGAAGAAAATATTTGCAAAACACATATCTGATAAAGGACTTGTATCCAAAATATACAAATTACTCTTAAAACTCAACAGTAAGAGAAAGACATATGATTCTAAATGTGTGTGCACCAACAACAGAGATTCAAAATACATGAAACAAAACTTGATAGAGCTGAAAGGAAAAATAGACAAATATACAACTATAATTGGGGACTTCAAAAATCTCCTTTCAAAAACTGGTAGAACTTCTAGACAGGAAGTCAGCAAGGATATAGAAGATCTGAACACACTCAACACGATCTAACTGAGAAATATAGAACACTCCACCTAAGAATAGCAGAATACACTTTTTTCCCCAAGTGTCCATGAACATATACCAAGATAGACCATATACTGTATCTTAAGCCATAAAACAAATTTCAACAAACTTAAAAGAACAGAAATCATAGAGTGTGAACTCAGTTACAGAAAATCAAAATCCAAAACAATCCAGATGCCATTGGGCTGGTGGTAAATAAAACAACGCCCTCTGGAAACTGGACTCTGAGTCTATTTCTCCTCAGAAAGGTTCTACAACTACTCTAATGTAGCTGAAACATTTATTATCTGCATCACAATTCTTTTCCATTATTGTATTTTTATATTACAATAATGGCAAATGAACCAAACTTATAGATATAAAGTGAATTTAAAAACACATTTGTAGTAACCTGATTTACAAACTAACTTTCAGGATTCCACATATTAAACTGAGACTACTGTTACTTATTATAGAAAATGAACACTTTACCTTCTAATGGAGTGTCTAAAAGATTGGCATGCTTTGTTTTCACATGAGTTTCCATATCTTGACTACAATCTTCTATTTTTCCACAGAATGGACATTCGGGAGGACTATACATTGTTTCATAAATTGATCCTTTTATTTTGGATAGGTCACACTCTTTTTCTTTACTTTTTAGGAATTTTCTAGATCCAGTTAAGTCTTCTGAATAAAAAGCGTTATGTTTTAAAGTACCATCTTTAGGCAAGCTTTGAGTTGAAATTTTCGGATGATTAGATGCACAAGCTGAATGAATACCTGAATTAACTTCCGATCTACACTGTAGGGTGTTGTCCTCGCTATTATCTGAAGTTCCGTACTGCACTGTATTGATCCTCTCAAAGTTTCTTTCTAGTTCATTTTCTTCAAAATGAGCAGTTTCAATATGAAAACACATTTCATCATAATTCACACCCGACAACTTGCAAAATGGACATACAACTTCGTTTTCCATGTGAACAATCAGGAGGTGAGCCTTCATGTCTGGTTCTGAGGTTACTGTTTCACCACAGATATCACAAGAAAGCATGGTACATCAGGTAGCTAGAAAAAAACAATATTATTTTAAGTTTGAAAGTAAGAGTTGAAGAAAAAGAAAATGCATTTTGTAGAATGATTTAGAAGAATGATGCTTGTTATTTAAAACTGGATTATTTAGATGAAGAAATTTTCAATGTACTTTTTGTTCCTCAAATTTACAAACTTATTTATAAATCTCAACTACTCACTATTGTATTTCAAGTTTATGGTTTCAACAAAACAAATGCAGTAATAATGCAAAATAAATAATTTTTAAAATATTTCAAAAAGTGTGTCTGGTTTAAGGTAGAGATAAAATAACGTTTATAAAATTGCCCAGGTATGATGACTCAGGTAAGAGAAAATAAAGAGAAGAAATCTTATCAACTGATGTATCTAAGTACAAAACCTTAAAGTTGTTAACAATGCGGAGGCTAAATAAAAACATCATAATTAATAGCAGTTACCAGTTAAAGAGCTTTACATATATCAAACTCATTTAAGTACCATTACAATTAATCTGTATGGCGAAAGCCCTAGCTGAGATATGTCACCACAGCCAGAAAACGGTTAGCCAAACTGCTAATCTATTCCGGTTCCAGAGGCTGTACTCTCAACCGAAAGAATAAAAGCAGAGTGAGCATAGTTGAAAAGAGCACTGATTCCAGAGACAAGAGAATTGGGTTATAATCTCAGGTTTTAGAATTTTGGATAAGACACCTCACCTCTCTGAGGTTCGGTCTATAAAATGAGTGGCACTAAATCAGCAGTCACTTTGGGTTTTATGGACTAATAAAGTACTGGCTACCGACAAAAAGGTGATTTTGCTAAGAAATCATCTTTAAAAAGCAAACACCGCCACAATCTTCGTACTTCCTACTACAGACCATCGTTTGGCTAAGGACTAGTTAAAAACAAACAGGAAAAGAAAAATAAGAGAACTATTTAAATAAATTTAGCTTTACAAGAGCTCCCTACATTGCCCTTATTTTCTCATTTTTCTTCAGACAAGTGAAAATAGTCTCTGAGTTTAAAAGGAAATTCTCTCAAACCCCCAGAGGAAAGAACGTCACACCCAGAGAGCTTCCTCTTTTCCCGCGGCTAAAACAAAGCTGGACACAGAAGGATACACTTGACCTCCCAAACACCTTGATCAGAAAAAGTGCGTGAGACATAAAGAGGCCGGTGACAGGGCCGGAATGCCCCAAGGCCGAGTCTGCCCGAAGTTCCGCGCCAACGTCCCGAGCCAGGGCACGAAACCAGGACGGACACTAACTGGGGGAAAGCTGTGGGCCTGAGGAATGAGGGCTGGGACTGTCCGTTCCTACCGGCCCGGAGATCCGGCCGCGGCCACACTGCTCTACGCTGGGCTTCCTCTCCGGGTCCCGCCGCTGCCGCCTTCTGGCTCGCCGGCAGAGGAGTGCGTGCGCAGCGTCGATTACCTTTCCCGGCCTGAAACACTGAGGCAGGCCCTCCCTACCCCCAGAGATACACAGTTAACCAGGAAAAGACCCAGCGACTAAAAAACAAAAACTCCGACCTCCACTTTCACATTTAAAAATGTTCTTCCTCTTCCCCAGAAGGGAAGGACTCCCGGCATGCACCGCTCCTCGCCGGTCTGGGTTGTAGTGCATTCTGGGAGTCGTAGTCATTTTTGCATCCTCCCATCAGGGTTCCGACGCCAGATTTACCAGGAGAGACACTAGGCTCTGAGGTCTTTCTGAATGAATTCCCAGGGCTGGTCCTAGGGCATTATTCGAGTCCACGATATCCGTTGTCTAGGGCCTGATTAAGTAGCACTCCATTCTATTATCACTAAAGGGCTTATAATGCTACTAGGTGTCAAACTCCAAACTATGCTCTGCAGATGGGGGATGACTAAGCCAGGTTCTTGCCTCAGAATCACAAGATCACACGTACCTTATTTTTACTGTTCAGTCCTTATTTCATTCAACAAATATTTAATGAGTGTCTGTTAGAAAGGCATTCTGCTTGGAAATGGGGCTGCAGCACTAATCAAAATACACAGGCCATTTGAAACACATTCTAGTGAGGCAGAGAAAAAATAAGTAAATAAACTGATCATGATAAGTGCTATGAAGGAAATAAAGCTTGGTTATTTATAGAAAGGACTAATGTAGTTAGAAAAAGTCTCTCTGAGGAGGTGAGTGTGCTAATGAACAAACCTTGCACCAACAGGAGGAAGAGTGTTCCAGGCAGAGAATATAATAAGAACAAAGTCTCTAAGGCTGGAAGAAAAAGAACATTTTGTGACCTGAGTATAATGTTCTAGAAGGAAGAGTGGCTACAATATGCGGTCAGAGTTGTAGACAGGGGCCAAATCATGTAGGGCTTTGTAGAAAGCTATTGGAGTATTTAAATAGGAGAGTGGCATGATCTGATGATATACAGTATATTTTTAAAAATCATTCTGTGGGTTGAGTGCTTAAACATGGCAGATTGAACATGTACATTTATATTCCCTGCCTTTCAAAATCTACTATAATGACAAAGCAATAATAATAATAAAAATAAACTAATGATATTTTAACATTTTTTTTGTGTGTGTGAGGAAGATCAGCCCTGAGCTAACATCCATGCTAATCCTCCTCTTTTTGCTGAGGAAGACCAGCTCTTCAGCTAACATCTATTGCCAATCCTTCTCCTTTTTTTTTTCCCCCAAAGCCCCAGTAGATAGTTGTATGTCATAGTTGCACATCCTTCTAGTTGCTGTATGTGGGATGCGGCCTCAGCATGGCTGGAGAAGCGATGCGTCAGTGTGCGCCCTGGATGCGAACCCTGGCCGCCAGTAGCGGAGCAAGCGCACTTAAGCGCTAAGCCACAGGCCAGCCCAATTTTAACAAATTTTGAAAGCTAGAGAAAGGATGGATGAGTAGTAACTAACTTAGCTAACAACAGAAGTCAACAAAAAACAGGTTAATTCATACACCACAATGCTGGAAATGTTCAGAAATTAAAGACTAGATACTTCTGAAAAATATATTAAATTTGGGCCTGAAATGAGGGACATTTTGCTGAAAAGTCTGAATAAGGAGCAGTTTGAACCCTACCTCCAGATTTCCTCTATTACCTGGTTGCCAAGTGACTCATTTTTCCCTCCCAGACAGAAGGATACAGCTTTAGTTTATAAAGAAAATGAACTGGAAAGGCTACGAAGTCCAAAGTGCACAGCTAAGGGTGGGAGTCAAGGTGTTGGACTGAAAATGGAGAATAGTGAAAACTAAATTCTGAATTATGAGGCCCCTACCCATTTTCCCCCATCACATTCTGATGTCTGATTTGTGCCTCCAAGTCAGGAGATTGGAAAATTCTTCTCCAGGGAAAACCATTCGTCCAAGAGAAAAGACCTACAGATCATGACTTTTAGAAAGTCCTCCAATGAAAGCACCCAGTCCCATTTTATCACTCTGTAGGGAGGTCAACAACTGGTGAGTAAACAAGCCCCACTGATATGTAGACTTACAATAGGTTTCTTTAGTGTCTCACTTAAATATGAATGAATACTCAACAATCACCAGGAAAGATGAAAACCAAAGGGATCAAAAAGAAAAAAAAAAAATGAACTCTGAAGAAACGGAGAAAATGAATGAAGGAGAAAAAAAAAAACTTCAAGGAAACCACAATTAACGTCTTCAGCGAGACAAGAGAAGATATTTAATCCCTGAATCAAAAATAGGAAATAGCTCTTGGGATTAAAAAATACAACAGCAGGATTACTTAGATATATATATCAATAAAGAGTTGAAAGAACCCACGAAATTTCTCAGAAAAGAGAACAAAAAGAACAAGAGATGGAAAATAGGAGCTTCTTCAGGACAGGAATTATATGTTAACCTTGTATTCTGTGCCTAGCATTGCACCTGGAAAACAATGTTATTAATACTGTTTGTTGAACTCCAGGGTGAGTTACAAGGCTATATGTGTGTTATAATAATTTAGAGTACTTTATCTGGAGTTATTCATTCCATATATCAGTGACTACTTTGTTGTCAAAAATCCAGATGTTACATAGAATCCAATATTATAATTGAATGGCAAATTGAAAAGCTTGAAACAAACGAGAAGAGCATATACGAAAAAGTTAATGAAGCTGAAGAAAGAAAGAGTCTCTGTAAAATTCGATGATGTTGGGATTTTTATCCGTTGTGTACAATGTTGTAGCTCCAGTACCTAAAACAGTGCCGGGCACAGATTAGGCCTTCAATCAATACTAGGTTGTAGAATGAAGGAATGAATGAACCAATGAATGAATGAACGAACTAACGAACAGTGAGTGATGAACGAAGATAGCTCCATGGAAGACTAGGACGGTAGGACACACTCCTGCCGCAGTCGGGTTAAAATACCGGAGTCGGCGCAGGCGCCGGCTCCGCCTTCGGTGGGGGGGGCTGGGGCGCGCGCTTCTCTCCGCCCCTCCGCCGGTCCCTGCAGCCGCCGCCGCCGCCGCCGCCGCCGCGTGCAAGGGCTTCTGGGAGCCGAGCCTCGGGGTCTCGGGGAAGGGGCGCAGATGGCCGCCATCTTGAATTGCGAACCTGGTCGTTGGGCTCCACGCTAGGGGCGGAGTGGCGACTCTACTGTTATCTGCAGCAGACGTCGCAGCCGGCGACTGGGAAGTCGGGGCACGGGTTAGTGCCACATTAATGGGTAAGTGGGAGTGACACAGGCCAGGTTGGGTGAGCCTCGGGTTTGGTCCCTGTGGGAGCTACTAGTGCCTGGGGCCACTGTCTGTTCACCCCTTTCCTTGCGGAGGGTTGAGGACCATGCCGTACCGAGGCTTTTCTCAGGTTCCCCTGCGGGAGACAGCGGTGACGGGGGCGTGGCAGCCGGACCTTTCCCGTGCGGACGCGAAGGCGCGGGGAGTCCAGATCCTCTGACAGCCGGGCTGCTCCTCGGAAGGAGTTTCGGGCAGCCGCTCTCATCCTCTCGCCGCCCTGCTTCCCCGTTCTCGGTCCTTCCTCTTCTCGGTGCATGGTCTTGCCAAACGTTGCCGCTCACTCCCGGGACTCAGCGTCTGTGTGCGTCCGGCGGCTTATTAGAAGTTCCACGGTGTCCAGAATAGGGCAGGTCCGGCCCCGGGGGCCTACATGCCGCACCCTCTTCTCCGCCAGCTGCACTCCTCCACCGCGAGGCAGGTGCTCGAAGAGCTCGGTCCCGACGTCCCCACGCCGGGGTTAGACGGTTATCCTGTCAGGTCCCTTCCAAGGTGAAGAGTTAATAGTGTTTCCTCGATAATGCATAAGACATGAAAAGAATTTGGAAGCTGGGAAACGGGATCGTGATACTTCAAAAGAATATGATATTGGCGTTTACTCGTGGCTTTTTGAACACATTCAAAGACTTCTGACTTGATGTCTCTTAATTACAACACTCAGTGATTCATAGTTTGTAGGAAAGGGACTTTCTTTCCTGGTAAACAAGAAAAAGCTCTGTCCTTTAGATCTTTAAGTCCCCTGCTAGTTTGGTTGCAGGGGCTCAAGTCAGCACACTTCCCCTCTTTGTGTGGTCTTGTAATTTTGCTAATAGGCACCCAAACCCTAGAAATGGAGGCTTGATGGACACAAGAAATTCCTTTAATAGATATTAGAATCCAGTTCAGATTCCAGTTATGTGCCTAACGTCAATACAGCTTTTCAAAGAGCTGGGTAAAAAACAAGCTTATGACTGAAAAAAAATTTCTCTGCTCTGCAACTTTGAAGTGTCTGAATAGCATTTCTTATATTTAAAATAACTTGTATGAGACAGCAGCCTTTGAATACAGTCTTGAACGTTATTTTCCAGAGAACGAAACAATCTCATTGGGTGAGGTATCTTTAGAGATCATTTTCCTTGGACTTAACGTCCCCTTGAAAGCAGCTGCAGTGAGAATGGATGCAAGTTAAATAACAGGCAGGAAGTTAGTCTATAGAAGAAAAAGGAACAAATAATATGAGTTGTTGGGGCTAGATTTTATTTGGTTAACATTTATATTGAAAGATTTTAGTGTAGTCGCCTAGATTAATGGTCTTAGAAGTAGTGTCTAGTGTGTATGTTGGGGGGGGCACAGGTGGAATTTGCAAAGCAGTTTGGCAGTTTCTTATAGTGTGAAGCATGTACTTGCCATATTACCCATCAGTTCTACTCCTAGATATTTACCCGAGAAAAATGAAAACTTACATTTACCCAAAAACCTGTACATGAATGTTTATAGCAGATTTATTCATAATTGTCCAAAACGAGAAACAACCTAAATGTCCTTCTACTAATGAATGGATAAACTGTGGTATATCCATACAATAGAATACTACTCAACATTAAGAAGGAATGAACTGTTGATAAATAGCAACAACATGGATGACTCACAGATACACTATATTAAGTGAAAGAAGCCAACTCAAGACTACATACTGTATTATTCCATTTATGTGAAGTTCAGGACAAGGCAGAATTATGGAGATGGAGAACAAATCAGTGGTTGCCAGGTATTAAGGGTAGGAGGAGGGCTAATGGGAGCAGCATGAGGAAGTCTTTTGGGGATAATGGTTATATGCCTTTGCGTTTGTCAAATACATAGAACTGCATACCAAAAGAGTGATTTTTACTGTATGTAAATTAAAAAATAAAACGATTGAATTCATTATTCTTGTCTCAAAAACAAGCAGGTAAGCAAACAAACCCACCACTCTGATCCTCCATTTGTATTCATTGTCTTGGGTTATTTGGCATCATGCTGAAATAGTTCAAGCTAAAAACCATGGAGTCATCCTTGACTCCCTTTTCTTCTTCACCACATATGCCTTATATTCATTTGGCCTAAAATTCTTATTGAATTAAGTTCAGAAGTGTTTTTGGAATCCAGTCTGTCTTCTGTATCTGCAATGCAACTATTAATTTAGTTTAGGGCTTCATCAACAACCATCTCTTTAATTTCTTTAATTCTGTTCCTTAGCCTCAAGTCCAAATTTCTCAACCAGATTACAGGAACCATATGTGATCTTACCTACCTTTCTAGCTTTATGTTCTGTCCGTTCTGCCGTGCATCCTCTTGTTCAGGCACACTCAATTACTTACTGTTGTGTAGTTCTACTAGGCTTTTTCAGGATCTCTGCCTTTGCATATATTCTCTCTGCTTGAAATGCTTGTTCCTTCCCCCTTCCCTTTATATGCTTTTCCCTGGCAAATTCTTGCTTGTCTTTTAAGATGGGATAACTATGAAGCCTTTCAGAGCTCCCTAAGGCACAGTTACTTGCTATGTCTTCTGTGCTCTCACAGGATTTAATGCATATGTTTTAGTGTACTTTACTACTAACAATATAATTTGCAAGTTCATTAGTCTATCTCTTCTACGTCAGAGATGGCAGATAAATGTCAGCCTCTCCTTCTCCTGTGTTTACTTCATAAGTGCTAATTGATCACAGCATTCTCTCTGGACGGACATGGGTTTGTCCTCAGAATTTATCAGAGTAACATTCTAGGTAGCCACTAATTATCTCTCATGTTAAAGTCAAGTTGAAACCCTGCTTTAGATTGATTTTTTTATGTGTAAATCTAGAATAGGTTATAATATCAGTAATTTAGTATTCATTTCAGATAATAGCAAAATATCAGTATAATACTATTATTAAAAAGTGTTTATAATTCGTTTTCTAAAAGTAAAAATTACATATATTTCAAATATAAAATTTCATATTTATATAAAATAAATATTTTAAATATACTAACAATATAATGTTTATGTGAATGTTAATGTTTTTAAATACATCTGTAATAAAACTGTTTAACAATACAGTATAGAAGTATTTCAATATTTAAAAAGAAGTAATTATACTAAAGTTCTGAAAACCGGTATCAAAGTCATGACTCACATCATGACCCGTGTAGCCTTATTTACTGAGGGCCTTAAGTAAATGAAAGAAGCCAGACCTCAATAAATCTTTGAGGTGTGCTTATTGAAGCCTAATACCATATTTCACTGAATTTAAGACACTTCAATTCTGGCTGTTTCCTGATCTTGCCTGAAGCTGTAATTGAGAAGTTTTTTACCCAACTGTGTCATGATTATTTCCTGGCTGACAGTGATTTTAAGATGGATTCCACTTCAGAAAGTTTAAAATACCAGGGATGGGGGAGTGCATCTTAGAATCAGTGAAATTAAGATAATGACTTTGTGTTTAGAAAATCTATTATTTGTTTGATAGTTTATTCCTAAAATATTTTGCCGTTTTGTTCCAATTTTGATATGGGAGTGAGAGGATATTCTTTGTGCCTCATTTTCAGAGTGGGTTTTGCCGATCTCTTTAATCCGTGAGCCTGAGTTTAGCAGCCCTACAGTAAATATTCCGTGTTGCTTTCAGAGTTATCAGTATCTGTTTTCTTCTCTCCTAACCTTAAGATGCCATGGCTAGTCCAGGGAAAGATAACTACAGAATGAAAAGTTATAAGAATAAAGCCCTAAATCCTCAAGAAATGCGTAGACGAAGAGAAGAAGAAGGAATACAGCTTCGAAAACAAAAGAGAGAAGAACAGGTAGGTGTTTTAAAATATTTAATTCTGTTTAATACAAAACATTATTATGTACAGATTTTAAAAGTTTTATTGTTGTTAATTTTTGGATAATTTTAAATGAAAAAGTATTTTAGGACATTGAATATACGTAAATCTATTCTTTAATTTATTAGTCTCCAGGATTAACATTAGCAAATTCATGAATCAGAATCCTGTGCTATTTTAATCACTGACAGGAATGGCTTTTCTGTTGCATTGATAAACCGTTTATGTTAATCATATTTCTACCCCACTGCTAAGAAATTTTTACTCTTGAGCCTATTTAGGTCACTTCCATTTGTCATTGTAAAATTTGCCCCCTAAAAAACATTACTTATATTCATTTGTTGCTTTGCAGTTTTCATAGCTCTTGCCCCTAAGTTAATTATAAGCATCTTCCTATGCTATTCATATTGTTCCTCCTATAGTGTCATCATCTAGATCTCAGCCTGCTCTGTTTGAACTTTGTATCTATAATATATGGAATAGAAAAGTCATTTAAAAGATTGCATTTCAACATTTTTCATTCTAGGATATACTTAAATTTAGAAGTATTCATAAATAATTAGGAGGGTGTTGTCCTCACACAAATTAAATCTAGTATATGAAAAGGACTAGCAATTAAGAAAGTGGAGGAAGGCCTGTTTTAGAAACATGATTATAATTTGTCATCTCTCTATCTGTAGTATCTAGCACAGTCCTTACTATATTATAGTAGGTACTCAAAAAAAATCTGTTGAATGAATGATTAGAAAGAGAACTGTGTACAGATTGAAGAGCAGTTATTTTTGTATCTGTCAAAAAGAATATGATGCCAGATTTTTTTTCCTTAATTGATTTAGAAGATGTACCTATAAATCTCTCTCAGTTACCTTACCATGTCTCTTTTCTCCTTTTTTTTTTTTTTTTAAAACAGAACAGTTATTTGTTCGTGGATTTAACTTCTAGTTCTTAAGCATCCATGAGGTGCTCGGAACTGTACTAGGTACTAAAATTATGGCAAAAACAATAAAAATTATCAATGGATATTTCTGAACTACTTAAAAAATAACCGTTTGGAAACAGGATAACTATAACCATTTCCTCCAGACTTTTCAATGAAAAGTAACTTTGTAATTCATAATTACCTATTTATATTATTTGTTCAGCTTTATATTTTTTAATAAAAAGTGCTAAATAAAACTTGATGTTTAAACTGTATTTTTTTATTGCTGTAAAATTGACATTACATTAGTTTCAGGTGTACAACATAATTCAATATTTGTATATATTGTAAAATGATTGTCATAGTAAATCTAGTTATCATCTATCATCACACATAGTTACAAATTTTTTTTCTTGTGGTCTCTTTTTTCCTTTGTGTTTATCCACTACTGAATTAATAAGCATAGGGCCATCTTTCCCTGCAAGTTATTCTCTATTCCTTGTTAATCTGATATACTAAGTTTGTTAAGATACCATATGTTCTCTCTCTCATGGAACAGATTTGCTTTTTAATTAAGATTTTCTTGGAAAAATTCTTAGACATTTCATAATCCAGTGTGAGCATATGTGCTTTTTCAAATGCTGTAAAATGTAATTGTGTACTCTACTTATGGGCCGGGCAGTTGGTAAAAGATTGGAGATTAAGAATGGCCCAAAGCAGTCTGCAGGGCAGGAGCTAACCTAGCCCAGAAAGTTTAACTTCTCATAGATAATTTGGGTCTTCCTGGTATGATTGGAAAATACTGAAATATTCAGAATTTTAAATGATAAAATTATTAGTTTGTTTTGTTCACTTAAATGAAAAATGTAATTTTATGGGAATTCAGTGTTTTATGGAAAGCTCAATGTATAAAGTGATTTCTCTTTATTACAGTTGTTCAAACGCAGAAATGTCTCTTTGCCCAGAAATGATGAATCTATGCTAGAAAGTCCTATCCAGGATCCGGATATCAGTTCCACTGTACCTGTTCCAGAGGTAGATATTACAAAAATGTATTTCAAATTATACTTCAATAATATTTCAGAGACAGTGGATACAGCAAATATTATTCATGCAAAATATTTAAATGATAAATTGTATTTTCTTTTGTGTGTTTTAGGAAGAAGTTATCACCACAGATATGGTTCAGATGATTTTTTCTAATAATGCTGAACAACAACTAACAGCAACACAGAAATTTAGAAAGCTCCTTTCTAAAGGCAAGAATTATTTTCAATATGCTTATTGGATATTACAAGATTCTGTAGTAGAGTTTTATTAGATATTTTAGTACTTAGTAATTGTACTTAGTATTATTAGATATGTTTTATTTTAAGACACTTTTCTTTGCCGGTAGGTCTTAATTTTTCTTTAAAATATATTTTTAAATAACCTCTATTTTTTAAACATTATATTATCAGAGTAACATGTTGATTGTATAATATTTGCAAAAATAAAAGAATTTTATTTATTTAATTTTTTTTGTGAGGAAGATAGGCCCTGAGCTAACATCTGCCAGTCCTCCTCTTTTTGCTGAGGAAGACTGGCCCTGGGCTAACATCCATGCCCATCTTCCTCCACTTTATATGGGATGCTGCCACGGTGTGTCGTGCCAAGTGGTGCATCAGTGTGCACCCGGGATCCAAACCCACGAACCCTGAGCCGCCGCAGTGGTGCATGCGCACTTAATTGCTTGCGCCACCGGGCTGGTCCCAACAAAGATAAAAGAATTTTAAAAAGCCAATATAAAAATCATTAGTCCTGCTACCAAGAAACCAAGTTAGGGGTACATATTTTTAAATTCTTGTAGAAATATTTTTCAGACGTGATTTTTTTAAATGACAGCATAACATTAAAGTATGAATGTAAAATAATTTACATTATTATACAATAATAAAATAATGTAATCAGTTTTTCCCAATTTTTGATTTTCATAAACAATGCTACATAAATCCTTGTACAACCTAAAATTTCCTTAGTATAAATTCATAAAAGTGAATTATGTATCAAAGGGAATAAACAATGTATTAATTTATACTCTAATCTTCAGTTTGACAGGTATTCATTTCACTATATTCTTACCAACACAATTATCTTTAAAAAAGAAAAAAATGCTTATGTAATGGTAGCTCATTGTGTCGCACTTTTTGGGTACTCAGGTTGAACATTTTTCTTTAATTATTGACTTGTAATTCATAATTGCCTATTTATGTTATTTGTTCAATTTTATATTGAGTTTATAAAAATTTCTTATCTTACGTTTCATATGTGGAATTTATAGAGTTAGTAATTCTAGTTATGTTGAGTTGTATACATGAACCAATAAGATTTTGAAAATGCCTTGGCGCAGCCGCCTTCTCTTCCTAAGAGAGACAGAATTTAGTAACACATGAGAAATGAAAGAAATCTTGTGTTCAGGTCAGCACAGGTTACAAGGCTTTTGCCTTTGCTTTCTCATTGTAGTTCTTGTTCATAAATACTTTTAAGTTTTGTTTCCTTGTTTTCCAAGCTAAAGTAGCTTAGCAGTGTTAGGAAATCCTTATACACTCAAGAATAGCTTCCTCTTCCTCACCATACTCCACAGTTTTTTTTGTAATTGGGATTATTTTTGAGTCAGATTAATGTTGTAAAATTCTTTTTTACATAATCATATTCTCTTTCAAGATTTCTTTTTGACATATGCATTATATTATAACCTATTAACAGAATTTATTTAGATTTAATTCTGTTTAAGGATGTTACAATTTGCCACTGGTGTTTTCATACCACAGCTCCCCTATTACTGAATTCTTTGGTCATAAAATTTTATCCTTATTTGCCCTAATTCCTCCGGATATTCTGTTTCTTTTAAACTGTATTGTCTTTTCATAAGTCAATGACTTTTTTCTGTTTCTTCATAGTGGGATTATGCTTGCCCAGGTCGGGCATACAACAGGAGTTATAGATGTTTTCTTTTACTGATTGATGTGTGTTCCTGTCAAATTCATCAGGCCTAGAAAAATATTAGATTTACTGTCATTTTACTTGATCCATCTCTGTAGAAAACATGGGAAAGGAGCCAGAATTAGAACTGGAGCTAAAATGTAACTCCTCTAAGTCATGATAGTGACATTTTGCTAGAATCTCTTATTTACTTCCCTGTCATGGCCTCTCTTGTGGATGTAAATTACAAGTTGTCCTTTTCTTCAATCCTAGTTTTATAGAAATTTCTCCAAGTCTTTTTTCTTGTGGATGACTCTTCCTTAGTTTTCAGTGCTGAAGCAGGTATTCCTCTATATTACTTATGTTTACATTGCCATGTTGACTAAAACTCTTCTCTGTAATAGTTTATCACCTTTATACGATTATATAGGCTATTATTCTGTCAGTATAATGCCAATGTGAAAGTTAATAGTTCATGATACCTGTTAGTTTAGCTGATGTTCCAAGTGCACTTTAATTGTTTTCTTTTAGATGAAAGTAACCATAAATGTGTTGCTTTCAATTCTCCAGGAAGATACTATATTTGAGTTCTTTCATCTATGTATGTATCATATCTCTGTATATCTATCTATATTATAGATATAGCTAACAGTCTCAATACCCAGTTCTCACCCTCTAACCAGGAAATCCTACATTTACTTCCTTCTCTCAACCTCCCCTCCCTCTCCCCTCCAATAAAAAGAGCAAGACAAAATTTTTGTCCCTTAAAAAAAAAAAGAGGATAGTAGATTTAGAATTTTCCTTTGGAAAAAGAAAAAACTAGAAGGTGAAGATGGTAACTACAACCTTATAATTTAGTTTTGATATTTTTAAAGGTGGGGAGTAAAAGCATTAATAATATATATTGTTTTATCCTGTTGCTATTTTATAACCATAACAACAGTTTAAGCTAGGGTCTGAAATTTGCGTTTTGAAGAATCCAGATATTTCATTTAGAACACCCAAATAAAGCTTTATGGGTATAGCTTTACTAACTTTGTGGAAATCTCTAATTTTTGATCAAGTTAGAAGGATAGCAAATTTGTAGAAAAAAGAAGAAAAGGAAGAAATAAGTCCATTCCTAAGAAAACCTTTCTTAACAATCGAGAACATGATTTCTAAGATTTAAGCCTGTTTAAAACTTAATAATAAAGTTTTTCTATATCAGACAAGCAAGATTTGTGCAGAGGTTTATGGTTACCATTTTATTTATTCATTCTGCTGAATAAACACAATATATTAATGGTTATATGTGAGTTATTTACGTTCAGTAACATAGTCAAACAGAGGAATGAAGAAAAGAAAGAGTCAAAGTGGAAATGAGATTTCTCTTGTGTGTCTAGGTAGGTGGACACATACCTCAGTAATAGACAGATTTGGGTGGTGGGCATAGGACAAGGGGAAGGAATAAGCATAGTGATATTATGAGTTTGGTTTTGGTTATACTACATTTTAAAGAGGGTGTGAAAAAAAAACATGGCCAATAGGCAGTTAAAAATATGGTCTAGAATCGAGGAGAGAAGAAGTCAGTTATGAAAGTTAAATTTGTGAATTGTCACAAATGATAATCATAAGTAATAATTGAATTAGCAAAATAGGTAAATGTTCTAGGAAGAGACTAAATGATGGAAAGAAAACTAACCCAAAGGAACACAAGAGAGAAGTTATTGGAGACCCACAAGAGGATACTTTGTGCTGAAACCAAGGGAGAAGAAAGAGTTCTTGGTCCTTAGATTGCCAGTAGCTGAAATATCTTTGTTTTAATTTTGCATATCTTTGTTTTAAAATTTCTTAGAGATTTGTTGATTTTCAAAAGCCCTCTGCATTTCATGAAGACATATCAAGAGTTCTAGATAGTCCAGTAGCATTCTGTAAATAAATACCCTGGCAGAATAAAACCTCATTTGGCTGAGACAAGCAATTCATGGTTGATAGTGAAGGAGACATCCTTGGAAACTGAGGTTTGTGTTATAAAGAATTAGTGGGAACTATATCCCTCAGTTGGCGTTTTTTTTTTTTTTTTAAGATTTTATTTATTCAGTTTTTTCCCCCCAAAGCCCCAGTAGATAGTTGTATGTCATAGGTTCACATCCTTCTAGTTGCTGTACGTGGGACTCGGCCTCACGTTGGACGGAGAAGTGGTGCCTCGGGGCGCTCCCGGGATCCGAACCCGGGCCGCCAGCATCAGAGCGCGCGCACTTAACTGCTAAGCCACGGAGCCGGCCCTCAGTTGGCGTTTTGAGTATTGGACTGAAATACTCTCATGTTGTGAAGGTGACCTCCTAAATAGCCTTCAACTTATAAAATTTAAATATTTGTGTAGGAAATATTTTAGAATTTTCTTATCATTATGGTTAATGAGAAATAATTTACTTTGCAGTAAGCATTACAATTATGAGAACATTTGTCTTCTTCAGTTACATCCAGCTAAGGGTTTAAACTTAGTCAGTGAAACCTAGGAAAGAGTTATTTTCTGTGTCCTGTTAATTGACACAGAGACCTGATAGTTGTCTTTTTGTGTCTTTATAATAACTTCATTCTTTTTTTAATTTTTAGAACCTAATCCACCAATAGATCAAGTTATACAGAAACCAGGAGTTGTACAGAGATTTGTGAAATTTCTTGAAAGAAATGAAAATTGTACTTTACAAGTGAGTTTTATAGTTTTCTTTCTTAATCTCTTTCTAGAAATGACATATGATTAAATTTCTAGTGAAAGTGATACTTCTACAATACTGAATATATTGTAAGCATTGAGTAAATACTTGGCAACTAAGGAAAAGGTAGTGTCACCTGTCTTTCCTTGATCCTGGTTGCACTGCTAGTGTCTTCTAGGAACTGTTATTTTATTAAACAATTTTTGGAAAAGTGTATAAAATCATTCCTAATTTTAATGAAAATTTTGTAGTTGTCAACCTTTAATAACTGTTTTAGAAAATCTCAAACTAAAATGTTAATTTAATGGCTAAATTTATTTTGGCTTGTAGTTAACTAGTCGTAACTTTTTAGTATCAACTCTTTTACCTCTTAAAACATTTTTATCTGATTGATTAGTTCTTTTTTTGAAAAAAAGAACAAGTTTGTATAATTTGCTAAAAATGTTACCAAAGTTAGGTTTGTCCAAAAGAGCGTTGCTTCTCGATTATACTATAGTGACAGTTTTAAGATGTCTTCCAAATAATTGGCTACTAATAGTAAATTACTGAAGTTTATAATTACTTTACTGTTAATAAAAAGATTTTTATTCCTGACTTTCATTGCTATATATATTTTTAAATAAGAGTATGGAGTGGAATTGTATCTGTTTATCAGGAATTGCCCAAGACCTACACTTCACTTATCAGTGGTGGTGTCAGAATGAACAGCTGTTAACTGGTATTCCAGTAATAGTTGTTGAAATTACAACTTAGAATCGTGTTCCACTCATCTGAATAATTTGGGAAAGGTCCTCACATTTTCGATATAAGCAAAGGAATCTCTTGTACACATGAATGTCACCCATCATGAGTTTTATGCTGAAAAATTGTTCAGAATATTTACAATAAGGGTCTCTGAGGGAAAGCCCACTTTATTAGTGTTTTAGTCTTACTGTCAATTAGTTTTCAAAGTCTTTCGGTGTTAGTGCTGTAAGGACTGGAGCTCAGGACATCTAGTCCCTTTCCTTTATATATAAGCTCTGAGTCCAGACTAAAATTGAAGCCTCCTGATATCTAGTTTATTATTTGGCTCTTTAATTCTAAATGAATGAAAGAGGAAATGAGTGAATATGAATAAATAAAATTGAATGCTAGTTTGAGCCATACACTGTGTAAGGAATTGAAGTTACGATATTGAGTAAGAGATTGTCACTCTGCAAAAGTTCTTCACTGTTTGTTGAGGAAGACAAACACATAAACAGATCTGCAATAACATAGTATGCTTAGTGCTATAACAGAACTATAAATAAAATGTTTTGGGGGGCCGAGCCAGTGGCATAGAGGTTAAGTGCCTGTGCTCCACTTTGGGGGTCCAGGGTTCGCAGGTTCAGATCCCAGGTGTGCACCGACACACCGCTTGTCAAGCCATGCTGTGGCAGCGTCCCATATAAATGAGGGGAAGATGGGCACAGATGTTAGCCCAGGGTCAGTCTCCTCAGCAAAAAAGAGGAGGATTGGCAACAGGTGTTAGCTCAGGGCTGATCTTCCTCACAAAAAAATAAATAAATAAAGTGCTTTGGGAGCACAGAGACTGTGGCAACTTATCTGTTTAGGAGAAGTCTAGGAAGACTACACAAAGGTAGTGTTGCTTGGCTAGTCTCGAGAATGAATGAGAGTTTGGCAGGCTGAAAAGAGGAAAATTAATTTCAGGTTGTGAGAATAGCATGTGTAGAGAGTATAGTATATTCAAGAACATTGAGAACTGGAGCATTTATTAATCACTATAATTAAAACCTAATGAAATTCATCAATATTGTCTTAGAGCAGCAATATGCTGTGCCATATTACCCAAGTTCATATGAAATATGCTAGTTCAAAACGTTGGTTTAACTAATAGGCGGCCACCTGGGGGCCTAAGGCCAGATTAGGCCACAAACAAGTTTTGTTTGGCCTGCACATATTTTAAAACATGAATTAGATATAGGCCTTTAAAAAATTGGGGAATTTCAAATGAAAATCTAGGTTTTTGCCAAATCAGAAAAGTTAATGTTGTTGCTACATTGTAGAGATCGAGTGGCACTGAATGGGAGCTCTGCCTGTTTATTTTTAATTAGAAAGTTCTTTATCCCTCCCCCCCTTTTTTTTTTGGTGAGGAAGATTGGCCCTGAGCTAACATCTATGCCCACCTTCCTCTATTTTGTATATGGAAGGCTGCCACAGCATGGCTTGATAAGCGGTGTGTAGGTCTACGTGCGGGATCCGAACCTGCGAACCCTGCCACCTATGCGGAGCACGTGAACTTAACTAGTACGCCACCAGCCGGCCCCTCCTTCCTTTTTTTTTTCTTTTTTAATCATAGACGTGCTCTTCTAGTTTGCCACAGTTCCCCGCTTACTGATATCACTCTTTTTATGTTAATTGTCTGTTCTCTAGGCTTGTGAATTCACCACTCTTCACTAATGCTTTCTCCTGGGGATACCAAGAATAATTTTATGGAGTAACTTTTTATTTGTCCTTTAGTTTATTTCATTATCTACAATTGGTTAGGACTATGATCTCCTTTTTTTTTTTAATATAAATCCCTCCCTTAAATATTTTTCTCAGTCTCATACGTAATAGTAACTGTAGTTTTCATGCCTTTCAGTAATGCTTTTGGGTGCATTTTAATTTTATGAATCATAATGATATCTACCTTCATGTGAAAAGTTGGCTATGTATGTCAAATATTTTTAAAACTATAAGAACTCCTTAGTTTGCCTGTGGATTTGTTGGTAATTTTCAATAATTTGCTGATTTATTGTTTGGGAGCCATGGGTTGAATTTTCTCAGTTGCTTCTGTTATAAATTCATCATGTATGAGTATATTCAAACTCTAATTGAATTGATATGAATAACTTTCCAGAGGCTCTGCTGCTTAAAAGAATACCACAAGTTCTAGTCCTGGCTCTGCTAATAATTAACTCTTTGACCTTGAATAAATCACCTAAATCTCTGGACTTCTAATTTTCTTGTTTCTTAAATGGGGAGGTTAGGAGTAGATGATCCCTAGGGAAATAGAAGTACCTTTTATGATTCTGAGTTCCATAAATTTACTATTGCTCTATTAAGTAGTGTCTCATTTATTTTTAAACTGCTTGCTTTAGAACACCTGGCTCTCTAATAGTAAACATTAGGAGTTTTGTGAATTATAAGTTCAAATGTGTTCATTTATTGTTAATGATTTTGTAAATTTTCATTATGTTCTTTCTCAGTTCTTGTTTTACCAGATTGAGGAATCATTTTTTTTTAAAGATTTGCATCTATGAAATCTGATTTCACATTGAATCTTACTAATCATAAGTCAGTCTTTCTCAGAGTTGTCCACTGCAGTCTTTACTCCCTCTCTTCTTCCCCTTTCTGATGTTTCTTTGGTGCTTTCATTTATTCTACTTTTATTTTTCCTTAGTTTGAAGCTGCGTGGGCATTAACTAATATAGCATCTGGAACTTTTCTGCATACCAAGGTAGTGATTGAAACAGGGGCTGTTCCAATTTTCATCAAACTTCTTAATTCAGAGCATGAAGATGTTCAGGAACAGGTAAGTTTCTAATTTGAACTGTTATATTTACTAGATTTTAATTTTTTCCTGAAAGTACCATTTGTGATTATGATTTGAAATTCATTTTGTGCCAAATTGCCTAATCATTGCATTTGTTAAAATGCAGTCATTTCTATTCAGCGTCAAATTAGAGGGAGGAAAAATGAACTGTCTCCAGAATAATCCTGTGTTCTCTATAAGTGCGATGTCAGCTATCATAGGAATTACTATTCCCATTTATAAAAGAGCATACTGAGACCCGGAAAAGTTAGTAGCTTACTCAAAGTCACAGTGAATGGCTGAACCAGGTTTTAAACTTGGGCCCATCTGACTCCTTATTTTTTGCATGTGCATAGATTATTTTGTTGTTTCTTTTAAAAATATCACATTATTTTAAATAGAACCATTTTTAAATAAACTTAGTGAATAAATTCTCATAATTGTTGTAAGAAGGAAGATTTAATTACATATAATTTGTACCATTTAAAGAAAATTCAGTGTTTTGGTATTTTTGTTTTGAATTATTTTTATGCAAATTGATCTGTTGATCTTTCTACTGTTCCATTCATCCATTCAGTTTTATGTAATTTTTTTCCCACTTAACACTAACATTAGGAGCCTTGTTTTATAGCATTAATTATTCTTCCAAGAAAATTTTACTGATTACTCAATATCCATTCAAGTATGTACCATAATTTATCTATTCCTCAATTTATGTTTGAGTTATTTTTAGGTTATTAGTATTATTAATAATATTGTGATGAACATCATTATATATTAGTCTTTATGTGCCTTTTGATTATTTCATTAGGGAAAAATGACTTTACCTGGTCAAAAGATAAATTTTTTTAAAGTTCATATTACATATTTCAAAGTTGACCTCCAAAAGAGTTGTACCAGTTGATATCCCCACCAACAGAATATTAGACTTCACAGGGGGGAAAATGTCATTACTTTCAAAATTTTTCATAAAAAAATAGAAAATGAACTTAGGTCTAGGGTAGATGTTAAAAATATTAACTCATATTTTAAATGTTAAAACAGAATTTTCCCAATTGAAAAAGTAACTTGTGTTAATTTTGTACTTACATGAAAAATTTGAAATGAGAATATAATAAAATGATAATTTGCATTTGTATAATTTCTCATCTAATTGAAATTTATAAGTGAATCATCTTTAATGCCATTTATTTTAAAAATTATAATGAACCTGGACTAATTCTAAACTTATTTTCAAGGATCAATCCAAACTAATTCTCAAGTTAGCTTTACCTCACTTTTCTACATTTTGTTTCTCCTTCCCTTCTTCTTTTACAAATCATCCCTTCCCAGTGAGTGGATTTCTTGGCATAGGAGCAAACCTCTAGTATAGGTAACTAGAAAGTTCACCAAATAGATATATTGTGCCTCTCCACGTAGATTCGGAGTCGACAAACTATGCTCTTTGTTGAGCAGAATAAACATTTCACTAGTATGTAAGGAAAATTTTTAAAATGCTTTCTTTCAATTTGATTAAAAATATTATTAAATGGCATTTTTAAAGTTTTCCTTTCTTACCACCCTACTAGCATTTTTTTCCACATCTTGAAAACTATCACTTGGTTCATTTTGTACCAAAATCTCATTCTTAACATAGAGCATCTTATTTAGGATATTGTCCTAAGAGAATATCTTTTTCTTATTTTTCTAAGGCTGTTTGGGCACTTGGTAATATTGCTGGTGACAATGCAGAGTGCAGAGATTTTGTTTTGAATTGTGACATACTTCCACCTCTTTTAGAGTAAGTACTCTAAATTTATCATAATTAAATTACTACTACTTTTGGAAAAGAAAACTATAGTCTCCACTATATTTTTACATATACAATTAAGTTCTTCAGTGATGCTTTTAAATTTGGCTTATGTTCAACCATGCCTGCAATAGCTTGAAAGTAGGTACAACAAAAAAAACTTTTCAAATTGTATCATGTCTGTGTCTTTTATGTCCTCTTAAGCTATACTCATAGTGGTCATTGCTTACTTGATGCTTACTGTGCTAACATAATTATTCTACAAAACAAGGATATGTAGTAGTTTTTAATACAATAAAAATTTAAATATTGCTAAAATGGAGACTCTAATACATGAACAGATGGTATATTTAGAATGTCAGTAGGTTTTTATATTTGATTTTGAAATGTTGAGAATAAAGATCATAAAAGATTTTTCTTTTCAAAATTAGAATTTTACTTAAAATGACTTATCTGGTGGTTTTTTTCAAATACTTTGCATTTTTTTTAAAGAAATTACTCTACAATATAAAGTCCTTTACAGAAATGACATAAAATTATTTGAAAGATAGGTTTCTTTATCCACCTTGGTTATCATTCACTAAGAGGATCTTTATTTAGGCTAAATGCCAATGGCAAGTAGTAGGAAAAAAGAAATAATTGGGGAGATGTTTGAAAGAAAAATTTTACTCTTATTATTTCTGTGCCATTCTCCAGCCTCTCCAAGCTGAGGAATTGAGTAGAAAGAGTAATTTGTAGATACTAGTTTGCAAGAGAGATTTTATTCTTATAGAGAGAGTAGCTTCCTGTGAACAGAAGTGATTTCTCAGCAAGATTTCATTCAACTAACATTGAATACCTACTTTGTGCAGGCCACTGAACCACTCACTATAATTTCATTTATTTTGGGCTTATCCAAAGTTAACATTCCATAGTATTTGAGAATTTAACTGAAATATATAAATACTGGTTTACAGTTTAATATCAGAGTCATTTTGAAGTTTGTATTATTAAAGACATCTTTTAAATTTTCAATTTGAGATTTTTCTGGCCTGATTCTGTGGTTTGTAGATTGACTGAGCTCTTTGTTTGTCTTTTCATTTCTGCTTCTCTGTCTCTAGTTCATTTTATTATTTGTTAATGTCTCAAGTTGGTAATGGTTTATGAAATAGTAAGTAAGCATTTCTTACGTCTAATTCTTTTAAATATTCTAAGGAGCTTTTAATCATGACCAAAGAAACCAAACTAAAAAATAAAACTCTAATGGAGAACAAACAGTACCCAGGTATGTAGTGCTTGTTATGAATATATCATATCAGGAAAGAGTGGGCTTACAAAGTTGGAAAGTTTCAAAGTTTCATTTAAAAAATTGAGAAAGATAATAAAGTATGTCAAGTTAGCTCCCAGATACTCTCACTTTAGTTGGACAAAAGGAGAAAAGTTTGTTATTAGCTTTTAAAGATTACGGATTATCTGTTGTTCACATTGAAATTCACATTCAGCTAATGCTTAAGTAAATATAAAACTTCTATTAATGTATGATTTTATCAATTCTGTTTGAGTTTTAATTTGTTTTATTGTAAATCATTTGATTCTTCGTAAATGTAAACCTTTTTACTACTGTAGATTTTATATACTGACACAACTTTGTTTTTTTAATTTAATTCAAATTTAATTTAATTCAAATTTAATTTATAATATAGCAAATCTATAAGTTTTAGTATATTGTGTTTTCTTTTTCATTTATTTCAAAGTATTTTCTAGTTTTCCTGAGAGTTTTTTTGACCCATGGGTTATTTAAGAGTATGTTTACTTAATTTCCACATATTTGTGAATTTTCCATTTTTTCTTCTATTAGTGATTTATAGTTTCATTCCATTGTGGTCAGAGAAGGTACTTTGTATGATTTCAGTCTTTTTAAATATATCAGACTTGCTTTGTGATCCACTTATCCAATTTGTGATACCAATATAGTTTCAATAATATACAGAAGTTCTATTCCTATACACCTCTGTCCCACCCCCTTTAGTTGTTATTGTCACAAATTACGTCATTATACATTATGTGCTCGTTAACATAGATTTATAATTCATAATGCATTTGTCTTTTAAATCATATAGAAAAAAAGAAACATTACAAACCAAAGTATAGTGATACTGCCTTTTATATTTACCTATGTAGTTATCTTTAGCAGTGTTCTTTATTTCTTTGTCTAGTTTTGAGTTATTATTTATTATCCTTTTATTTCAGCCTAAAGGACTCCTTTTAGTTACCCTTACAAAGCAGATCTACTAGTGATGAATTTCCTCAGCTTTTGTTATTCTGGGAATCTTTTACTTTCGCCTTCATTTTTGAAGGATAGTTTTGCTGGGTATAAAATTCTTGGTTGACAGTTTTTTTTCTTTCGGCACTTCAAATATGTAATCTCGTTGCCTTCTGTCCTCCATGGTTTTTGATGAGAAATCAGCTCCTGATCTTAATGAGGAATCCTTGTACATGATGGGTCACTTCTCTCACTGCTTTCAGATTCTCTCTTTGTCTTTGGCTTTTGATAGTTTGATTATTGTGTCTTGGTGTGGATCTCTTTGAGAGTGTCTTACTTGCATTTCATTTAGCTTCTTAAGTGTGTAGATTCATATCTTTTATCAAATTTGATGTTTCAGTCATTATTTCTTCAAATATTCTTTCTACTCTTTTTTCTCCTCTCCTTTTCATACTCCTATTATGTGTATTTGGTATGTTTGATGGTGTCCCACAAGTCTCTTAGACTGTGTTCATTTTTAATCATTCTTTTTCCTTCCCCTCCTCAGACACAATAATTTCAATTTACCTATTTTCAAATTTGCTAATTATTTCTTCCGTCTGCTCAAATCTACTATTGAACCTCTCTAGTAAATTTTTTATTTCAATTATTGTACTTTTAAGCTCTATAATTTAGTTCCTTTTCATTTTGATTTTTTTATTGATAATTCTTCAGTTGCTGAGACATCATTCTTCTAATTTCCTTTCATTCTTTGTCAATGAGTTCTTTAGCTCTTTTAAGCGTATTTAAGACAGTGGATTTAAAGTCTTTGTGTAGTAAATCCAATGTCTGTGGTTCCTCAAGGACAGTTTCTTTTCATTTATATTTTCTACTGTTAATAGGCCATACTTTCTTATTTCTTTTCATGCCTTATAATTTCTCATTGAAAACTGGACATTTTGATTATTATAATGTGGCAACTTTGGAAATCAGATTCTCCCCTCTCCCCAGGGTTTATTGTTGCTGCTTGTTGTAGTTGTTTGTTTGTTTAGGAACTTTTTTGAATGAATTTTCTAAAGCCTGTATTCTTTGTCATCTGCAGTTTCTGAAGTCTCTGGTCCTTTAACTTAGTGGTTAGCTAATGGTTTGACAGCAGAGATTGCCTTAAATGTCTGGAAACAAAAGAAAAAAGAGAGAGAGAAAGAGAAAAAACTCTCCAGGTGTTTACAGGTTGGCTTTGGGTTGGGCCATTCTTTCAGTGCTTAACAAGACCAGCAACTATGACTTAGCCTTCGCTTACTGCTTGCATTGAGCCTAAAGGTCAGCTAGAGTGAAAGCTTACAGTCTTGTCAAGTTTTTTCTGAGTATGCACTTTTCCCTGGGCATCTGTGTGGCCTTCTAGATTGTCTGGTATATGTGAGAACTTTTCAAATCCTTTATTCCCCAAAGTATTTCATTCCCCAGCTTTTCCACCTGGGCTTTGAGCGTGTCTATTGTTTGCCTCAACTATATCCTTTGCTCTAGGTTTCAGTACCTTGTTCATTTGCCTTTCAATATTTTTGAGGAACATTCTTTATGTAGTTACTTCTCCACCCTGAGAGAGTTCCCAGTTAAGCAAAACAAAGGCAAGCCCCTTGCATCAGTCCTTCAGGGAGCCCCCAGGCAGGTCAAAACAAACACACACAATTCCTTAGAAACAGAAACTCTTTTGCTTCCTTTGGAACCAAAAACTCACAGTGGGAACTCAGGCTGTTGTCTTCCTGTCTGCTGCTAGACTGGGGAGGGGGCTGGGCAAGGATAAGTTAAAATACCTAAAGCTATCCTACCGTGTTTCAGACTTTTCCTGGTTAAAAGTTTTCTTGGTTACTGTAAACTTTTGACTATCTTTGAGAGTTCCAATCAAGTTGATTCTGACAGGGTTTGCATGTTTTTTTTGATATTTCTGGGGAAGGATAGACCCAGAGTTCCCTTCTCTACCGTTTTTGCTGATATCACTCCAGAACCGAGATTTTTTTTTTTAAACCTAAGTTCTCTATACTTCTAGCAGGTTGCAGGTCAGACATACTAAGACAAGCAATCTGTCCAAAAGAAAACAATTTCCCTTCTCAACAACTTATTTTCATTCAATTTGACCGATTCCTTTCTTCCTGAATTTGTATAATGTATTCTTTTTATGGTCAAAGCAAAAGTAATCTAATACTCTTTTTAAAGTATATAGAAATAAGTAAGTCAATTTCCCATGACACCCTTTATTTTGAACATGTTTTTATGTCTTTTAAGAATTCATCCTTATTATAGAATCAAAATTTTAAAAATAGAGCTGTGATATGTTTATTTTTGTTTCTGGAAATATAATGAATTTTAAAAACTTTTTTTCCTGTTTTGCCAGATCAGTTTGACTGCCTTATAAAATATATTGAGAATTTTTATATTATGGTAGAAAATAGCTAAAGAGGAAAAATGAATGTAAAGTGACAATTCCTTTTTTTTTTTTCTTGGCAGGTTATTAACAAATTCAAACAGACTTACAACAACCAGAAATGCTGTATGGGCCCTCTCAAATTTATGTAGAGGCAAAAACCCTCCTCCAAACTTCAGTAAGGTATGAGTAAAATAAACAAATTAAGGAATCTGTCTACTTAAACTTTTAAGTCTCCTTATAATAGATTTTTAGAGATTGAAGGGACTTTATTCTTTTTTTTGTAATTATTTTCTTTATTGACTAGATAAATAAGTATTTGCACATATATAAAATCAAAGGATATACAGTGAAAAGAAAGTTTGTCTTCTCCTCTTATCCCCAGTCCCCATGAATTCCTGTCCTCAGAGGCAACCACTGTCACTAGATGTTTATGTATCTTAGAGTTGACTTTAACAATCTTCTGGTCTAGTTCTTTTCATTTATAGGAAATTGAAGCCCCCCAGAAGATTAAGGTAATTCATCTTGGTCCATTGTTAGTTACAAAATTGGAATAGTAACTAGTCCAGAGTGGCTTGTACCTTCTCACTGTACTTTTTATCTGTTAGAATATCTTTTTCCTCATCTACTAATACTCTGCTGCTAGAAGAATAGGTTATTAATAAATTCCCAATCTAGTTCTATTGTCTTACCAATAAGGTGTTGTTAGAATTTGAGTAAATATTTACATTTTGAGATCTTTTTGTTTTAATTATATTACATGGTTTTTACGAGTTCTTTACCCATAGGCAGGCAGTGAAAAATTTTGTAATAACAAGCACTTTCTATAAATAATTCATTTTTTAAAAGTTTTTCTCATATTGATGATAATACCTTTGATATTTATCTAGTATGTTTTCCTGGAGAATTTGATTATTTGAAAGATACTGAAATTTATAAATTTATAAATTATATACTTATGTGATAGTCTAAACCACATTTTTCTAGGCTTTTGTTTTAAAGTGATTAACTTTGTGAAACATCTCATGGAACATTAAGGACTTAGAGAAGTTACACAGATTTTGAAAAGTCGTGTTGTAATCTGGATTTCAGGCGAATTCATATTTATAATATTGGTTAATAGACATTATTTAATAGCTGGCAAAAAAAGGAATATCGATTGGGAGACTGTTTCTTATTTTCTCTTCTGTCCTCTTACCTCTACTTCCTTCTCCTTCATCCTTACTCTCAGCTTATGACCTTGCTTCCTACTTCACTGAGAAAATTGAAGCACTCAAAAGTGAACTTGCGTAGGTAACTGTCACCACATTTACCATCCTGTCATCATGTGTACCTATTTATTATACTTTTTGTCATTGTTGGTTATTTTTCCCATGCTGCTCTATAAACTTAATTCATCTGCTTCTATGCTGCATAATTTTCTGTCTTCTCTGTTCAGAGTCATCACTCCAGCAATTTCCTTTTCTCTCTCCAACATTAACAATTATTTTCTTCTCTCCTACATCATTCTCATTCCTATAAAAATATGCCATTATTTCTTCCTCGTTAAATCTTTTCTTAATGCCTGGGGGCTCCTATCAGTTTCTTTGTTAACCACCACCCCATTTCTTTGCTCCATTTTACAGCAAGACTACTTATTTATCTCTGTTTGCATTGTCTACTTTTTCTCTCCTTGCATTGTTTCTTGAATCCACTCCAATCAGGATTTTCCCTCAGTCACTGCACTGAAACTGCCTTCATCAAGGACACAAATGTCTCCACATTGTGAAGTTCAGGGGTCAATGGTTAGACCTCATCTTACTTGACTTGCTAAAGTACAGTGGTCATTTCTCAGTCTTCATGTTACCTGGTGTGTTGCCTGCAAGTGACACAACTGATCACTCTTTCCACCGATACAACCTTTTTTCACTTGGATTTCAGGCCACTATACTCTCTTGGTTTCCTTCTACCTCAGTGACTGCTCCTTTTCAATTTCATTTGTTAGTTCTGCCTCTTCTCTTTTACCTCCTAAAGTTGACAGTACAAAGTGTATGGTTCAGCTTTTTCTTGTCTTTATTTACACTTACTTTCTTGTTCATTTCATCCATTCTGTGACTTTAAATATCATCCACATGCCAGCAACTTTCAAATTTCAATGTTTGGCTCAGATCTTCTGAGCTCCAAACTCAGCATCTTTATTTGGATATCTAATAGGCATCTTATACTCAACATATCTAAAACATAACTCCTGTTCTTTTCCCCCCAAATCCTGCTCTGCCAGCAGTCTTTCCTGTGTCAGTTAGTGGCACTTCTATCTTCCATTACTCAGATGAAAAACTTTTATAATTTTTCGCCTTCTTTTATCTCACAGTCTTCATCCACTCCATCAGAAAATTCTTTTGTCTCTACTTCTGAAATATATTCAAGTAGGGATCCCTCTAGCCAAATTTGGTACTATTTGAGGATCAAAATGAATATTTTGAAAAGAAAGGAAAGATTTTTAACAGATTGGGCAAAAAAATAATACACAGGTCTTTCCTATTACTAAAATTAAAATGGAAAAAGGGAAGCTCTTTTTTACAGAAAAATACCAACTTATACATGTAGAAGGACTATTAGAAAAGACAACCACCACAGTAATTGATTTAGGCAAAAATCATCAATGAGTTCTAAAACCTTCAGGTGAAAGATTATTAGGGAACTGGATATTCACATAATCTAAAAATATCACCCTACAGAGTATCTATTAATTACACAGGAGTTAGGAGGGAATTATATTTGCTGTTGAGAATTCCAGCAGACACCAACCACCTTAACCTTACGTGATTAAACTTGACATCACTAATAAAGGGAAAACTGACATGTGCCTTCAAATGTGATGTGACTAAAAGGAACACATCATTACCTATGTAAGACAGCTGCCAGAAATGTTTAACCTGAACTTAGTAATGAGGAAACAACAAGACAAATCAAGATTGAGGGATATTCTACAAAATAAATGTCCTGGTCTCTTTAAAAATATCAGTGTTATGAAAGACCACAGATAGGCTGGGAACTATTCAAGATTAAAAAGCAGTAAAGATACACACCTATTAGAATGGTTAGAATCTGAAAAACTGACAATACCAAGTGCTGACAAGATGCAGAGCAACTGAAACTCTTATATATTCTAATCGGAATGTAAAATGGTATAGACACTGTTAACAGGCAGTTTCTTCCTATAATTTCTGGCAATACGGCACTTACCCAAGAAATATGAAATAGTATGTCTACAAAAAGACCTATATGTAAATGTTTATGGCAGCTTTATTCATAATCACTAAAAATTGGAAACAGCCCAAATGTACATCTATTGGTGTATGGATAAACAGATTATGGTTCATTCATATGATGGAATACAACTCAACAATAAAAGGAACAAACTACTGATACGGGCAACAACATGAATGAATCTCACAAACATTAAGCTAAATGAAAGAAGCCACGTGCAAATGATGCACCTTGTATGATTCCATTTTTTGGAAAAGACATTGATTCCAATATTTTGGAAAAGACAAAACTTGAGAAACAAAAAACCAGATTGGTGATTGCCTGAGGGGAAGGAATTGATTATAAAGGGGCAGAAGAGAACTTTTCAGGGTGATAGAAATAGTCTGTATCTTGATTGAGTTGTAGCCTTACAACTGTATACATTTGTCAATACTCTCGTTAAAACTTGTACACCTGATGGGCTGGCCCCGTGGCGTAGCTGTTAAGTGCGCATGCTCAGCTGCTGGCGGCCCAGGTTCGGATCCCAGGCGCACACCAACGCCCCGCTTGTCAGGCCATGCTGTGGCAGTGTCCCACATAAAGTGGAGGAGGATTGGCATGGATGTTAGCTCAGGGCTGATCTTCCTGACAGGAAAAAAACACAAAACTGTACACCTGAAAAGAGTTAATTTTACTGTATGTAATTTATACCTCAATAAACCTGATTTTTTAAAAAGACACTGAGACATAACAAATAAATGCAATGTTTAATTATTGATTAGATCATGAATCAAAATTAAGTTTTAGCTTAAAAAATTTGAATTTGCTTTATACCTTAGATAATAGTATTTCATCAGTGTAAAATTCCCTGGTTGTGATAATTATATTGTGATAAAAGAATGTAGAAGAATGCCGTTTTTCTTAGGAGATATATGCTGAAGTATTTAGGAGTGAAGTATCATAATGATGTCTGTAGTTGGTTCTCAAATAGGCCAGTAGAAATTTGTTTTTAAATATATAT